CAGACAAGCAATTTGTGGAGCAGTGAAAGATAAATCCCTCATTGTGGAGTTAACCATTAGTTACAGTGTTGACCCTGCCCTTAGCCCAGTGTCTTGACTCACTTACTTCCCAGATCCACCCTCCACCAGGATACCCCTTCACATCTGCCAAATCCCTTCAGAAATTATCTTCCGTTGTCCAGCCCATGATCTGACAGCTTGTATCTGAAGCTTTCTTGGCTTCTGTGATTCCAAACACGTCAACTGCTGACAGTTTTGGGTTTTCTTTTTATGCTGTGACCAGTGTCTCTTAAGTTTAGTTGTACTGTCTCTGTAGAACTCCTGTGTAGATTGTATTTTCTTCTTGGCCTGAAGCCTGGCCTATTTCCCACCCTAACCCAAGTCTAGATCATTGTCTTTGACAGTCCTCACTCAGTCCTGGAAGAATGGCTAGTGAAAGGTGGGGGTCATAGCATGAGGGACCCAGAAGTTTTCTTAAAGACATGCCTGTGGGGCTGTCTTGTCCTCAGGTCTCTGATGACCTAATCCGGAGGGGCCACCTAACAGGGCTTAAGCCTATGGTCCTAGTCACCTTCCATTCTCCAGTCAACTTCTACCGGTGGAAGATGGAGTTGCTACAGATCCAGATGGAAGCAGCCCCCTTCCTCAGCAAAGGTGGGCTTGATGGGGTACTTGGAGAGGCCTCCACCTTGTGTGGTTATGGTTGGGGGAAGGCCCAATGGAGTCCATGTCCTTGAAGAGAAGCTGAGGTGATCAGAGATGCCTATGGCCTAGGGAGGGACACACACACATGCACCATGGGGTCTTGGGCAACAGGGAAATGTGGGACATCCTGATGTGGCTTGTGAACTGGAGGGAGCCTTTGGGAGCTCCTGGTAGCTACAGTGCCTCCTGTCTTCCAGACGAATACTGCAGAGCAGAGGAGCTGTGTTTCATGGGCTGGTACACACCCATGCCCATCAAGAACGGCAGTGTGGTCATGCATGTGGATGTCAGCAGCAATGGCCTGGGGCCCTACATCCCCAAGAAAAGGTGACCTTTCCTGAGCCCAGGATCGAAGGTAGACTCAGGGAGGGACTTCCTAATCCCCAGATCCCCAAAGAATGCAGAGGAAACCAAAGAGAGGAGCTAGGTGGAAGGCAGGAGGGAAAATCCTAAAATGGGACAACTCACCTGGGCCTACTCTGCGCCCATTGCTAGGTTCTATGTGAACATCAACGGCTACCTGAAGATGGAGCAAAACAGCACAAAGTTCACCATAGGCAAACAGGTGAAGGGGCCTGGGTGGTGGAGGAGGGGAGGCCTAGGTTCAGGACAGTGGGCTTGACTGCCTTGGGCTGAGCCCTCACTATATCCCATACAAACAGTAGTTCTCATTTCTAAGATACTCCTATAATGCATAACATGTCAGACTATTAACTAAGAAGTTGTATCTGGAATCCACCAGCTGCTTCAAAGAAGAAAGATGGGCAGTGTTTCTCTGTAAAGATTTACAGCCTCAGAAACCCAGTGGAGGTTTGCTATAAGTAGGAACTACCTCAGTGAATGAGTCTGCACTTGGGTTACTTTTCGCTGACCCAAGGTTAAGTCCTTTACCAAAGATACAGTCACATTCAGTCTTTGAAATGATCTTGTAAGAGGAGATACTCTGACAGGACGATTTTGAAGAGAAAGAGAGAAACTGTATTTGCACCCAGCTGACTTCTGTACCCATATTCAGCGCAGGAGGGGAAGACCCTCTATGAGGTGGATTGATTCAGTGACTGGGGTAATCGGGATGGGTGTGTCAGAGGCAATGTGATTGGCACAGGATAGAGCACAGTTTAGGGCTGTTGTACATTGGGTCGCTATGAGTCGTAAACAACTCGACGGCACATAACAACAACAAACAATATTTCATTGTGTTTTCCATGAGGGTTTACACAGCAGTTGAGGTTCCTATTCATCAATTTCTACTCAGATTGTTTAATGACATTGGCTACATCCTTCACAGTGCATGAACATTCTCTTTCTTTCTGTTTGGGTTATACCACTTCTGTAATCTAATTTCTTTGCCTCTTTCCATTCTGACCTTTGTTTTAAAGTAATAGGTTGTTGTTGTTGTTATGTGCCATCGACTCAACTAGCACTCATAGCAACCCTGTAAACAAAGCTCTGAACCGTGCCCTCTCCTATGCCATCCTCACAATCTCTGTCATGCCCCATTTGCTACAATTACAGTGTCAATCCATCTAATTGAAGGTCTTCCTTTCTTTCTCTGATCTGCTACTTTCCCAGCATGATGTCCTTTTCTGGACTGAACCTTTCTGATAACAATAACATGCCAAAATATATAAGACAGAGTTTTTCACCTTCCTTTCTTTTAAGGAAAATCTGGTTGCACTTCCTTCAAGACAGATATGTTTGTTCATTGGACAGTGCATGGGATATTCAGTACACCTTCCAACACCATACTTCAAAGGGATTGGTTCTTCTTGATCATTCTTACTCATTATCCAATTTCCAGATTCATAGGTTGTTGTTATTGTTGTTACATGCCATTGAGTTGCCTGCAACTCATAGTGAGCCTGTGTACAACAGCCCATTTAGGGGTCTATCCTATGACAACCTTATTGTCTCTGACGCACCTACCCCCACTACTCCAGTCATTGAGTCAATCCATATCATTGAGGGTATTTCCTTCTTGGGCTGGCCCTCTACCCTCCCAAGTATGACATCCCTCTCCAAGGACTGGTCCTTCTTTGCAACATGTTCAGAGTATGTCAAGATGAAGCTTCAGAATCCTTGTCTCCAAGGAGCAGCCTGGTCTCACCCTTTCTAGGATGAATATGTTTGTTCTCCTAGCAGTCTGTGGTATATTCAGTACTCCTCTCCAGCACCACAGCTCAAAGGCTTCAATTCTCCTATCATCCTAAGTCATTGTCCAGCTTTCTGATGCACAGCAAGTAATTGCAAAGACTATGGCCTGAATCAGGTACACCTTAGTCTCCAGACTGACATCGTTACTCTTCAGTACTGTGGAGAGGTCTCTGACAGCAGATTTTCCCAATGCATAGGATGTAATTGAAAATACCATTGTTTAGGGGAGCTCTGGTGGCCTAGTGGTAAGGAGCTGCAACTATAATCCCAGAGGCGCAGGGTTCGAATCCACCAGATGCTGTGCCGGGGAAGGAGGGACAATCTCCTCCTGTATCAGTCAGATCTGATTTGACAGTACACTCACATAAAAATAATAAAATTTTTAAAAAAAGAAAATACCATTGTTCGACCCTAAAGAAACCATAACTGCCACTCAAGCAGATATATGTACACCCATGTTTATTGCGGCTTTGTTCACAATAGCAAAGAGTTGGAAACAACCCAAGTGTCCATCAACAAATGGATGGATAGAGAAGCTCTGATATATTCACACAATGGAATACTATTCAGCATTGAAAAGCAAGGAACTCATGAAGTATTATGCAAAATGGGTGACTCTGGAGGACATTATACTCAGTGAAATATCTCAGTCACAAAAGGACAAATATTGCCTAGGGCCACTGTTGTAAAATGGGACTGACATCAGGGTAGAGGGAAGACAGAAAAGGAGGGGAGGAATGATGTATATTGCATTGAAACAGATGAGGGAGAGAACTGTTTAAAAAGGATATATGAATGCACACCCATGTTTATTGCAGCTTTGTTCACAATAGCAAGGAGTTGGAAACAACCTAAGTGCCCATCAACAAACGAATGGCTAGAGAAGCTGTGGTATATTCGCACAATGGAATACTATGCTGCATTAAAAAACAAGGAACTCATGCAATATTATTCAAAATGGTTGACTCTGGAGAACATTATGCTGAGTGAAATATCCCAGTCACAAAAGGACAAATATTACATGATGCCACTGTTGTAGAATGGGACTGTCCTTGGGGTTGGGGAGAGACTGAGTAAGATGGGTTCAATAATGTATACTGCACTGAAACAGAGGAGGGAGAGAACCGTCTAAAAGAGAGATGTAACTGGGTATTTCTGTCATCACAGGAGACTAGGGTGAGGGCTGCATGGTGGAGGGGACCTGGGGGAGTGTTTGTAAAACAATGAAAGAATCTTTTCTTTTACTTTTCCATAATTTTTGGACTCATGTACTTATAACTTGTTAGTCAAATTTGTGTCTTCTAGGTTGCAACACCCCCATGATACATCTTCAAGGATATGTACATGTACAGCCAAGCACAATCAATAAGAGTGCATCTGAATTCCAAAATCTATCTCCATAATAGTCTATGTGTTTCCTACTGCCAAAGGGGCCCTTTAGAGTAGTGAGAGAAGATCTTCACCCTGAAACCCACAGCGTCCCTTTTCAGCAGGAAGTAGCTAAGAGAATACGCCGTCCCCTTTTCCTTATGACTCAGGGTGAAATCTCTCTCAGGGAGGAGTGATAGGGAATGGCAAAGGATACACTGACAAAGAAGATTAATCAGAACTGGCTTTGACAAGCACTGTGGCATTTGGACAAGAACAAACTGGGAGGAGGGTAGAGAGAATAGTGCAACAATGAATGAGTGGAAGCCCAAAATCTCTGTAAATGTTTATGAAAATTAATAAAATATAATTATAGGGGAAAAAAAGGATATATGAATGGGTATTCTTGTCATTACAGAATTCCAGAGTGAAGGCTACATACTGGAGTGGTTTTGGGGAGAGGGATTGTATAACAATGAAAGAGTTTTTCTTTTCCAGGAAAAGAGTGAATGGGGGGAGGGGGCTGGCAGGGAGGAAAGTGCAACAATGAATGACTGGAAACCCTATGTCTCTGTAAACTTTCATTAAAAAATAATACCATGTTTTGGATCAGACACCTTGGTCTTTACACTAGTATCATTGTTCTTTAGTACTTTGGAGAGGTCAGTGTGGTTTTTTTAAAAAAATAACCAAGCATATTGTATATCATGCTACTCATTATTTTTTTAACCAGTTTATTATTTAGCTACAAGATGATGTTAGGAGTTTGTTTGAGTTCAGTCTTAAGAATGTCTCAGGACAATAGTCTTAGGAAAATCTCTAGTCTCAACCAATTAAGTAGGTCTGCTTGTTGTTTTTTGTTTTTTCTTTGTGTGTATGTGTGGTTTGTTTTTAAAGGAAACTGAGATTCTCCTATTTCCCTCCTATTAGATTCCATATATTACGGTGCTGATTTGAGTGGTTGTTAGTGGTAGCTGGGCACCATCTAGCTCTTTATAGTGTTTAGGAAAATGAGGTCATGATTCCTGTAGACTGTCTAATAGTTTCTTCTTTGAGACATTAGCTTCCTTCTTTTTCTCTAGATAAGACAAATGGCATATCACATTTTACTTATCCTCTCATCTGTTGATTGTCATTGAGCTCGTTCCCATCTTTTTTAAAAAAAAATACCAGTTTTGTGGTTTTTATTTTCTTTTTAAAAAAATTTATTTTATTAATTTTAATGAATGTTTACGGAGATTTTGGATTTCCATTCATTTATTGTTGCATTTTTCTCCCTGCACACCCCTACCAGCTAGTTCGCTCTTCTCTTTGAAAAGAAAAAGACAAATTTCTTCATTGGTTTACAACCCCTCTCCCCCCAAGTACACTCCACTATGCAGCCTTCATTCTGGACTCTTGGCATAACCATAATACCCAATCATATATTGCTTTTAAACTGTTCTCTCCCTCATCTGTTTCAATGCAGTATACATCATTTATCCGATTTTTCTCAGTCTCACCCAACCCTGATGTCAGTCTTGTTCTACAACAGTGGCACCATGCAGTATTTTTCCTTTTGTGACTGAGAAGATATTTCACTCAGCATAATGTCCTCTAGGGATTTTGAATAATATTGCATGAGTTCCTTGTTTTTCAATGCAGCATAGGATTCCATTGTGTGAATATACCACAACTTCTTTATCCATTCATTTGTTGATGGGCACTTAGGTTGTTTCCAACTCTTTGCTATTGTGAACAAAGCCGCAGTAAACATGGGTGTGCATATATCTGCCTGGGTGACAGTTAGGGTTTCTTTAGGGTATATTCCCAGTAGAGGAATAGCTGGGTCAAATGGTCTTTCTATTTGCAACTTTTTGAGAAAGTGCCATACTGCCTTCAAATGTGGTTGCACAATTTTACACTCTCACCAATTAGGGTTCCAGTTTCTCCACAACCTCACCAGCAACTTTTTGAGAAAGTGCCATACTGCCTTCCAATGTGGTTGCACCATTTTACACTCTCACCAGTTAGGGTTCCAGTTTCTCCACAACCTCACCAGCATTTGTTGTTTGGGTTTTTATCTTCTTAAATGCTATTGTTATTATGTACCATTGAGTTGGAACCAACCCATAGCAGTGGGTTTTCAGAGGCAGTAAATCTAAAGAAAGGAAATTGCCCATCTTTCTAAGTTCCTCCTTGGAGACAAGGATTTTGGAGCTCCGTCTCTCACATATTTTGGGCACATGGCTAGGAGAGACTGGTCCTTGAAGAAGGACATCATGCTCAGAAGGTTGGAAGGGCAGCACAGGAGAGAAAAACCCCTCATCAGATGGATTGATAGAGTAACTGGGGTAGATGGATTGACAGAGTAACCAGGGCAGTGGGGGCTCAGGAGAGGGCAGACTACAGAGGCGACTCTGGCACATTACAACAGTTACCGGTCAGTTGGCCAGCTAGCTGTCCTCCAGATTTCTTGACACAGCCTAATGACCAAGTTGACTCACATCTGTTTGTTGAAATACGTTTGTGGGTATTCCATCAATTCCTGGGGCCTTGTTTTGTTTTGTTTTTTTTGTCAATTCCTTCAGAGCAGCTTGAACTTCCTCCTTCATCTCCCTTATCACTTGGTCGTAGGTTATATCATGAGATTTTTCGAGAGAGAAACTCAACAGGGTGAAGGGGGATCAGGACTGTGCAGGCACATGTCACAATGCTTCAAAATGATTTAATTAAGAAAGTTGACATTTGATGAAAGCCAGGAAGGAGGAACAAGAAAGGCATTAAGTGGATACCAGGAAGAGCATTTATAGGCAGAAGGAACAGCCAGTGCAAAGGCTCTGAGGTGGGAATGGGGCGTGAATGTTTGAGAATCAGTGAGGAGACCCCTGTGGTGGGACAGGGGAAAGGCAAGGTGGTGGTGGATGCGATGATGGTGGCAGATGGTGTGGGTCTCATGGGCAACAGGAAAGACTTTGGCTTCTAGGTTAAGTGACATGAAGCCTTGGAGAAACAGGGTGGATATTGAGCAGCCCTTCTGACCCTCCCCTGGCAGGTCTTCAGACTGATACCCCGGTACTTTAATAATTTCTACTCACAACCTCTGTGGTACACTGTGGACCAGGCCCCTGTGCTCATCCTGGGTGGCATTCCCAATGAGAAATTAGTCCTGCTAACGGACACCAACTTTGAGGACTTCTCTCTCCTGGAGGTGAGTGGTACTAAGCAAATGAGGGCCCCTCAAGTGGAACTAGCCCCTAAAATAGAGTGGGGACTAGGAGTTTCAAAAAAGGGTCCCCAAAAAACATAGCAGCCACCATGAGAGGCAGATAGCAATGGGGGGGGGGAAGGGGAGGGGAGGGGAAGACAACTGGATGACGTGGGCTCAAATTCTGATTCTGTCATATCCTAAGCTGTGTGACCCTGGGCAAGTCACTTAACTTACATTAGACTTCAGAACTTCCTTATATAAAAGAAAAGTTGTATTTAGTCACTGTGATGATAGTATCAACCAGACCCAGAATCAGATCCATGGATGCATGTTGTTGTTATGTGCCTTCAAATTGGGTCCAACTCATAGGGACCCTTATGCACCACAGAACAGAACACCTGCACCACCCTCTCAGTGCTGCACTCCAGCCCATGGTTGTGGCTGTGTGTTAGTCCATCTTGTTCAAGGTCTGCCTCTCTTTCTCTGACCCTTTGCTTTTGCCAGCATGATGTCTTTTTCCAAGGACTGATCCCTCCTGACAACATACCTAAAGTATATGGAAGTTACACTTTTATAACACATAGGACAGTTACTGAAGTCTTGCCCACATTGACACAACACTAATCACCAAGTTTTTTGCCTGTTTGTTGTTGAGGCGTTAGAGTTTAGAAATAACATTCACGTTCTTCTTAACTTGCTGAAATTTGTCTTAACAGCAAGACCTAGACTTTGTTTTGTTTTATACTTTGAATGTTCAATAGAAAATTCTGCTTTTCAGCAGCATTTCAATCAGATAAAAATAGAGCAAATAATGTCAGGAACCTCCATGTGTCCATCACACAACTTCAATAATTGCCAACATTTTGACTAATTTATTTGTTCCACCATTTTTCTTTTTTACTGGAGTACTCTAGAGTCCTAACCACCATTACTATCTAACTTGTAAATTATTGAAAAACTTAGGAAAGTCTCTCTGACATTTTCCTCTGACAGAGGAAGTCTCTTTGATATCTTCCTTTTAAAAAAGAAAAATGTAAAAAAAAAAAAAAAGTAATGCCATTATGAGGCCCAGTAAAATTAGTAATAATATCCTAATACTATCTAATACCAGGCCATATTCAAAACTCCCCACTTAACTAAAAATGTCTTTGAAATTGGTTTGTTTGAATCAGAAGCCACATATTACACTTAGTGAAGTCTTTCCAGTCTCTTCTAACTTGTAAGCCAATTTTTCTTTCTAGGCAGTTTAATTAAGAAAAATCAGCCTTTTTTGCCATTAAAATTTGGCTGCTTGCTTCTTCTTAGTGGTGACTAACTTGTTCCTTTGAGCTCATACTGCCTGTATACTGGTGATGAGCTCTAGAAACATAAACATGATTAAATAGAGAGTAAATATTTTATGTGCCCTCCTGCTGTCAGGAATTGGTTAGTGAGCGCCTGGTGGTGTCTGTTAATGTCCGTGGACAGCTGCTTGTGTTCAAGGTAGAAGAGGACTGTTTAAGAAATTGTCTTTGGGCGAGCTCTGGTGGCCTAGTGGTAAGAAGCTGTACTGCAGTCCCAGAGGTATGCGATTCAAATCCACCAGATACTTTGCTGGAGAAGGATGGACAATCTCCTCCTGTACCAGTCAGATCTGATTTGACGGTACACACAAAAAAGAATAAAATTAAATAAAATTTTAAAAAAAAGAAATTGTCTTTGGACCATGTGGAGGGCCTGATTGGCCAGGCAAACTAGAACTGAGCACTGTGCACTGCACAATGGCAGAGGACACACAAGGAACCAACTGTCTTAGGTTAAGTCACTCACTTGTTTTAGTTTTACTGGACAATAGTAGAGAAGTCTGAGCAGCTGTGGGATCCATTCCATGCAATTTTCAGAGCATTGTTGTTTTTAGGTGCTTCCAGTCAAGTGTGAGTCAGTGATCCTATGAGCAACAGATCTGAACTCTGGTCTATCCTGAGCCCTCCTTATCATCTTTGACATACTTGAGTCCATTGCCTGTATGGTAAAGCATCTTGTTGATGGTCTTTCTCTCTTTCACCATCCCCCTACCTTTCCAAGGAATAGCTTCTCCTAACAAAATGCACAAAGCATGTGAGATGGAGCTTTGCCATTTTTGTCTCCATGGAGCACTCTGGCTGCACTTTTTCAAGACTTATCTCTTTGTTCCTTTGGCAGTCCATGGACTCACTCAGCACTCTTCAACACTGCAATATAGTCTTCCCCATAAGAGAAAAGGACATGGGGCCCGAGGCCAAGTTCCCCTGCTAACCCTGGCTCCACTTTCCTGCAGTTAAACATTGATAGTTGCTGGGTAGAGTCCTTCTCCTGCCCCCATTCTGCCTTTACTGCCACCATCTATGACACCATTGCCACCGAGAGCACCCTCTTCATTCGCCAGAACCAGCTCGTCTATTATTTTACAGGCAACTATTCCAAACTCCGGGATATCAACAGAAAAGGTGAGGGGGCCATGCCCAGAGCATATTGTGGAGTCCCTGGCATTTCAGGCAAGGGGATATGGTGCTGAAGTTCCAGCAAGGGTATCTTAGGGAACCCACCACTGTATAGATCTGGAGCTACCATGGATGGGGGTCTATGTGTCAGTAACTATCCAAGTTACTAGGTCCTGGATCATCACTGCCCACCCTGCTTGGGTCTTCTTCTACCCTAGATGTGCTAGAGTGAGTTCCATACCTAGAGGAAAAGAGGAGTGAAAATAAATGGAAGGAACAGAGAGAAACAGAGAAAAATGCACACACACACTCCCCCCCCCATTGAGAGATGCAGAGACAGAGGTTCAGAAGGATGGAGATGTACCTTATGTATCATTGAGTCAGAACTGTTTCATATATGACCTCCAGTGAATTTTTAGACGCTTGAAATCACACTGGAGGAGATTGCCCATCTTCTTTCTTCCACAGAGCAGTTGGTGGATTAGAACCACTTGCTTTTGGTTTGGCAACACAACTCCTTACCACTCAGCCACCAGATCTAGAGGGAGAGATAAAATCAGAGAGAGAGAGTTGGTAATGCAAAACCATGAAGGAAGCCGATCAAGAAGGAAAATGAGATGCCCAAGCCTTCCTCATTCTTGCTTCCCCCAGGAGAGGGGAGCCATAGTGGCACAGGATATAATATGTGCGGCCACTAACCAAAGGTTGTTGTTTCAATCATCCACTTCCTGGGAGAAAGACAGGCAGCCTCCTCTTGAAAAAAGTTAAAACCTTGGAAACTCATTTGGAGGGATGCTACTGGGCTGAACTTCACACTAGAACAGTGGGAAAATAAATGAGAGAAGCTATATTTTAGTCCCAGAAAATCATGCTATAACTTACATTTCCTTAGTACATATTCCTAGCAGTTTGATCTTGCTTCCTCACTTTGACAGTAGGGAGCTCTGATGGCCTAGTGGTAAGAAGCAGCACTGCCAACTGGAAGACCTGCAGTTCAACTCCACCAGTTGCTACTAGTGAGAAAGACAGTCTCCTCTCCTCCCATGTGATATACTGCCTCTGGAAACCTGCTGGAGAATCAGCTATGAGTTGGTTCCAACTCTACAGTATAGAGCAACAACTTTGACAGTAAAGGAACCCAGTTTAAAAGGGCCTAGCAGAAGTGGCATCCACTTCCTAAACAACATGCCTCTAGAAACTATGAACTTTGATAAGTGTCAATAGTTAGAGAAAGGCTTCAGGCCTTTTGTTCATAGGGTTGCTATGAGTCATACTCGACTCAAAGGCAATCAACACTGCTATCACAAAGAAATGGGTGTTTATGGGCCAGAGTACTTAGTTGAGAAGGGAGCTCAGGTGGCATAGTTCATAGAAAGTTAGCACTACTAACCCCAATGTCGCACCTCTCTCGTGGTTCCAGTCCACCATGGCTTGTTGGGAGAAAGATGGGCCATCTCTTCCCATGTTTTTTACAGCCTTCTGAAAACCTGCTGGAGGTTCAGCTATGAGTCGATTCTGACTTGACAGTAGTGAGTGAGGTGACTTAGTTGAAAAGTACAGGAGCAGTTGGTTTCAGGCACAGATTAATCCAGGGCACCATTGTCAGTCGGGCCCCTCCTTATGGGGGCCGCTAGTGGTTGCATCCTGTGTTGTTGTTAGGTGCCACTTAGTCAAGTACAACTCATAGTGACCCTTATGAACAAGAACTCTGAACCCCGTCCCATCCTGTGCCATGCTCTAGCAGCATGCCTAAATTATGTGAAATGATCCTTTATCATCTTTGCCTCCAAGGAACACCATCCCCATTTTGTCCAGTTTGGCTACATGCTCAGCTAGGAACCAGTTACACTGGCTGGAGAAGTGGGAAAGGGAGAACAGTTCATGAGCAAGACATTGCGTAGGTGCTTCAGGTTCAGAGAGCCAAGAACAGGCTCTCCCATCCAGGGAGATGTGGGAGGTTGGCGTGAGCCTGCGCCCAGGTTCAAATGCACAGTTCCGAGGCCCTATACTGGCCCCTCCAGACAGCTGGGTTCGCATCCTGGCCAACGAGTGCATCAAGAAGCTCTGCCCGGTGGAGTTCCACAGCAATGGCTCGGAGTATGTGATTGCTCTCACTACTGGCCAGAACGAAGGCTATATCCACTTTGGGACCATAACAGGTAAGGGCAGGGCCTCTAGTAGAGCAAGATACCCTTCTATGTCCTCTTTCTCCAAGAATTCCAACCTTCATTTTCCTTCACCTGGTATCCTCGCTGGTAGGGAGGTCCTAGGCTGGAAGTTTCCTGTGGTTAGGGTAGACTTGGGGAGTGTGTTATATTCTGTCATACTTTGTATAGATTCAGGTGGTAGAATTCATTAAAAAATAAGTGCAAAGAGTTTGTGAACTTACATAAATGAGAAAACCAGGGGTCCCTGTGGCTGAGTCTTGGGCCCATAGGGAACATGCCATCAGGACTGTCTGTCTCAGCAGGGTAGTAGAGCATAGTGATAACAACACATATTTTAGAGTCAGACAGGACCCACCCTCCCCAACTGTGTAGCTTTGGATAAGTGTCCTGGCCTCTCAGACCTCAAGTTCTCATCTGCAAAATGGAGTGAAGGATAGTCCCTACCTCCTAGAACCCCGAGATGACGTTGGTACCCATAGTCCCTGACATATGAATGAGCTGTGAATGTACAACTCCACTGTAAGTCACTTTTGACTTAAGTGGGGTTTGTTTTTTGGAATTTTTATTTTAAAGCTTCTAGACAGCAGTATTTTCAACAGAAAGCCATTGTATATCTGCAAGTAAACCCCTGTGAATGATTGTTGCTGTTGTTATGTGCCAACAAGTCTCCCTAATACCTGGTGACCCTATATGTACAATAGTTCTGAACCCTGTCATATCTTGAGCCAATCTCATTGCCTCCGACACATTGACCTCATTACCCCAGTTACTGAGTCAATCTCTCTCATCCAGCACCTTCCTCTTCTGGGCTGTTCCTTCTTCATGATGTCCCTCTCCAAGGACTGGTCCCTCCTGGCAACACACTCAGAGTATGTGAGGTGGAGCTTCAAAATCCTTGACTCCAAGGAGAAACTTGGTTTCACCCTCTCCAGGACACACCTGTTTGTTCTCTTGGAAGTCCGTAGTATGTTCAAAACTCTTCTTCAGCACCATAACTCAAAGACATCATCAGTCCTTCTTCTGTCATCCTTAGTCATTGTCCAGCTCTCTGGTGCATATCAAGTAATTGTGAGGACCATCAGGCACACCTTAATCTCCAGACCCAGATCATTGCTCTCTAGTACTCTGGAAAGATCTCTGATAGCTCATTTTCCCAGTACAGTTTGTCTTTTGATTTCTTGACTGCTGGTGCCAAAAGTGTTGATTATGAAACCAAGCAAGCTGAAATTGTTAACAATCTCAATCTCTTCTCCATTTGTCATGGTGCTAATTGGTGAGAATCTTTGTTTTCTTAATGTTGAGCTTCAGTCCATGGTGGAGACTGCAGTCCTTGACCCTGCAGCAAATGCTTCAGGTCCTTTTAAGTGTCAGCAAGCAAGGTTGTGTCATCTGCATAATGCAGGTTGTTGATAAATCTTTCTTCAATCCGGATGCCACATTCTTCCTCTTCAGGTCCAGCCTCCTGAATGATCTGTTTCACATATTGGTTGAAAAGATATGGAGACAGGACACATTCCTGACTCACTCCTTTCCTGATTTGGAACTGTGCAGTTTTTCCTTGCTCTGTTCTGATGATGGCTTCCTGGTCTGAGTATAGGTTTTGCATGACACAATCAAGTATTCTGGGATCCTCATTCTGTTCAAGGTTAGCCACAATTTGTTGTAGTCCACACAGTCAAATGCCTTTGCATAGTCAGTGAGACACAAATAGATACTCTTCTGGTATTCTTTGCTTTCTACCAAAATCTGTATTTCTGGTAGTTCTCCGTCAATTTATTGTTCCAGTCACTTTTGGATAATTGTCAGCAGGATTTTACTTGTGTGTGGTATTAGTGATATTGTTTGATAATTTCTACACTCTGTTAGGTCATCTTAAACATGTACATATATGAGTTACATATATATATATATATGTTGTTATATTGTTGTGTGCCATCGTGTCACTTGCGACTCATAGTGACCCTATGTACAACAGCCCTAAACCTGCTCTATCCTGTGCCAATCACACTGCCTCCGACACACGCACCCAATTACCCCAGTAACTGAATCAATCCACCTCATAGAGGGTCTTTCCCACCTGTGCTGTCCCTCCACCCTCCCAAGCATGATGTCTCTCTCCAAGGATTGGTCCCTCCTTACAACATGTCCAAAATATGTCAGACAAAGCCCCAGAATCCTTGCCTCCAAGGAGCAGCCCGGTTTAACCCTCTCCAGGGTGAGTCCATGGTACACTCAATACTCTTCTCCAGCACCACAGCTCAAAGGCATCAATTATCCTTCTATCCTCCCTAGTCATTGTCCAACTCTCTGATGCATAACAGGTGATTGCCATGCATAACAAGTGAAAGACCATGGCCTGTATCAGATGCACGTTAGTCTCCAGAGTGACGCCATTGCTCTTCAGTACTTTGGAGAGGTCCCTAACAGCAGACTTTCCCATTGCAATACGTCTTTTAATTTATACATATGATATATATCCCACTGGCATTTGACTGTGTGGATCACAACAAATTGTGCATAGACCTGGCATTCCCACTGTCAGAATAGTCCAGCAAAACTCCGCCACATAGGTGACGCTTTCTAATTGTCTGCATATTCCCAGCAGGCCCCAGTCTTCAAAACCTAACATTCCCATTATCCACATGACATCCCTCTTGTCACATAGACCCAGCGGGCCCTGGCCATCTACACCTGGCATTCCCATTGTCCTCATAGACCTAAAAGTCTGTGCCGCATAGACCTGTCATTTCCATTGTCCAAATCGACCTAGCAAGCTCTTGCTGTGTCAACATAGCCTTCTCATTATCTGCACAAACCCAGTAGGCCCCAACCATCTAAACTTGACATTCTCATTTTCTACATAAACCCAGACTCAGCATTCATTCTCTTGTCCCAGTAGACCCAACAAGCCCAGCTGCATAAACCCCACATTCCCACTGTCAGAGTAGACTTGGCAAGCCTACTGCTGCATAGACCTGGCATTGCCGTTTTCTGCATAAACACAGCAAGCCCTGGCTGCGAAAATCTGGCATTCCAGTGTTGACGGAGCCTGCCATCATCAGTTAAACAGTCCCTGAAGGGGGGAGTGAGGATTAGGAAAAATGACAGAGACAAGAGAAAAGAGTCAGGAGGGCATACAGGGAATACAGCAGCCCCGAGTTTATTCTCATCTGTCCTTTCATCATCCTTTTACAGGGAACAGAAAAACAACCCAACTTCAAGGATGACAATACATTTTGTTTTTTATATCCTTGCTTAGCACTAGGGTTCAAGGAATGGTCAAACCTGTTTTTGTACTGAGAACAGCAAACAGTTTCTCTTGTGGGAACAACTGGCCATTGACTTCTCATACAACTGATTGCTTCCTTATATCTTTTACTTAATAATTTTCCAGTGCTATATGAAGCTTTCGATGTGTCTTTCTTAAAGGTTTCCCACACAGTGTCAGAACAGACCTGGCCAAACCCGGAAGTGTCAACATGGCTTTCCCATTGTCTGCACACATTCAGCAGGCCCTGGCTTTCTAAACCTGGCACTCCCATTTCCTGTGTAGTTACAGCAAGCCTCAGCAACGCAGACCCTTCATCTCCACCATTTTAATATACCTAACAAGTCTGGGCCACATGGATATTGTATTCCCTTTGTCTGCATACACATGACAGGCCCTGGTGGTCTAGTCCTGACATTCCCATTTTCCGCAAATATAAAGCACACCTTGGCTGCATAGACCCTATTCCTATTGTTAAATAGACCAAATAAGCCACAGCCACGTACACCTAACATTCTAATTATCCAAATATACCCACAAGCCCCAGCCTTGTAGACCCAGCATTCTCATGTCAAAATACGCGTGGCAAAGCCTAGCCATGTAGACCTGGCATCCTCATTGCCTGATTAGACCTGGCAAGCCCCTGCTGTGTGGACACAGCATCCTCATAGAAATGACAGGCTCCCTCTCCATCTAAACATGACATTTTCATAGTCCACAAAGACAAAGCAAGCTTTGGCAGTATAGACCTGGCATTCTCATGATCTGAATACACCACAAGCCATGTCTGTGTAGCCCTATCACTGTCACTGTCAGAACAGACCTGGCAAGCCCTGTTGCATAGACATAGCATTCACTTTTCCACAAAGACCCAATAGGCCCTGCCCTCTACACCTGCCATTCCCACTGTCTGTCTAGATCTGCAAGTCTTGGCCACATAAACTTGTAATTCCCATGTCCAAATATATCCAGAACTCTCAGGCTTCATAGACCTCATGCTGTCACCATCAGAAGAGACCTGGCAAATGGCAGCCACACAGATGCGGCTTTCTAATTGTTTGCATACGCATGACAGACTCCAACCGCCTAAACCTGACATTCTCATTCTCATTTTCCTCATAGCCTCAGCAAGCCTCAACCACATAGACCTGGCTTTCTCAGTATCTGAATACACCCAATAAACCCTGGCCTCAAGACCCAGCATTCTCACTGTAAGAACAGACCTGGCAAGCTTCGGCTACATAGACACGGCATTCCCCTACCGTAGAAACAACAGGCCCTGGATGTCTGCACCTGACATTCCAATCAGCCCCAAAGACAAAGCAAGCCTTGGCTACATTGACCCAGCATTCCTGTTTTCTGAATACATCCACAAGCCACAACCGCATAGACTCATCATTCTCACTGTCAGAACAGATCTGACACGCCCCGGCCAGGTAGACAACCATTTCCTTTGTCTGCATAGATCTGATACTCCCTGGCCATCTACATCTGACATTCCCATTTTCCAACAATCACAGCAAGTCTCAGCCATGTAGGCCCAGCATTCTTGTCTGAATAGACCTGTCAAGCCCTGGCCATTTAGACACAGTATTCTCCTTGTCATCATGGGACAGGCTCTGGCTGTCTGCACCTGAGAATTCCATTGTCCACAAAGACACAGCAAGCCTTGGTTGCATAGACCCAGCGTTCCCATTATCTGAATATACACCACAAGCCCTAGCTGGATAGACCTGACATTCTCGCTGTCAGATAGACCTGGCAAGCCCTGGCTGCATTTACATGGCATTCCCTTGTTTGTATGAATACCACAGGCCATGGCTGTCTACACTTGGCATTCATGTTATCCATATCGACACAGTAAGCTTCAGCTGCATAGACCCAGCTTTCCCATTGTCAGAATAAACCTGGGAAGTCCCGGCTCCATAGACACGGCATTCCTCTTGTCCACATAGAAACAACAGGCCCTGACCATCTACACCTGGTATTCCCATTTTCTGCAGAGACACAGCAAGCCTCGGCTGCATAGACTGGCATTCTCATAATCTGAATACACCCAAAAGCCGTGGCTGCATAGACCAGCGTTCCCACTGTCAAAATAGCCTTGGAAAGGCCCAGACATGTAGACACAGCATTCACTTGTGCACATAGACCTGATAGGCCCTTACCATCTACACCTGGCATTCCCATTGTCCGCATGGACTCAGAAGTCTTGGCTACATAGACCTGGCATTCCCATTATCTGAACATACCCAACAAACTTCAAACATTCCCACTGTAAGACTGCCATTCCCACTGTAAGAATAGCCCTGGCATGCCCCTACCATGTAGACACAGCATTCCTCTTATCCCCATAGACCCAAGAGGTCCTTGACATCTACACATGGAATTCCCATTATTCACATAGACCCAAAAGTCTTGGCCACATAGACTGGTCATTCCCACTGTCAGAATAGACCTGGAAAAGCCGGCTATATAGACAAGGCTTTCTAATTGTCTACATATACACAGCAGGTTCTGACCAGCTAAACCTGGCTTTCTAATTTTCCACATTGCACAGCAAGCCTTGACCATGCAGACCGGGCATTCTCATCATCTGAATACACCCAGCCAGCCCCAGTCATGTTGTTCTTGTGTTGTTGTTATGTACCATAAAGCCACTTGCGACTCATAGTGACTCTAAGTACAACAGTTCTGAACCCTGCTGTATCCTGAGCCAACCTTATTATCTCTCACACACTTACCTCCATATCCCCAGTCACTGAATCCATCTCATCAGGGGTCTTCCTCTCTTGCACTGTCCCTCCACCTTCCCAAGCATGATGTCCCTCTCCAAGGACTGGTCACTCCTTGCAACATGCGCAAGGTATATCAGAGGGAGCTTCAGAATTCTTGCCTCCAAGGAGAAGCCTCTGGTTTCACCCTTTCTAGGACGAACCTGTTTGTCCTCTTAGCAGTCCATAGTATATTCTATAGCTCAAAGGCATCAATTCTCCCTCTATCATCACTAGTCACTGTTCAGCTTTCTGATGCATAGCAAGTAATTGCAAAGACCATGGCCTGAATCAGGTGCACCTTAGTCTCCAGACTGACATTGTTGCTTTTTAGTACTCTGGAGAGATCCCTGAAAACAGATTTTTCCCATTGCAATTTGTCTTTTGATTTCCTGGTTGCTGGTACCAAGAGTGTTAATTGTGAAGCCAAGCAAACGAAAGCTGTTAATAATCTCAATCTCTGTCTATCATGATGCTGCTAATCGGCTCAGTGGTAAGAACTTGTTTTCTTGATATTGAACTTTAATCCATATTTAAGGCTGTAGTCCTTGACCTTCTGCAGCAAGCACTTCACGTCCTCATCAACTTCAGCAAGCAGGGTTGTATCATCTGCGTAACGCAAGTTGGTGATGAGTCTTCCTCTAATCCTGATGCCACATTCCTCCTCATAGAGCCCAGCTTTCCAGCTTATCTGTTCCACATGTAGATAAAAAAAAATGTATGGAGATAGGACACATCTCTGGTGTACACCATTCCAGATTTTGAACCATGCCGTGTTTCCTTGCTCTGTTCTGATGACTGCCTCCTGGTTCAAGTATAAGTTTCGCATAAGCACAATCAAGTGTTCTGGGATTCTCATTCTCCTCAAAGTTAGCCACAATTTGTTGAGATCCACACTGTCAAATGCCTTTGCATAGTCAGTGAAACACAAGTGACATTTCTTGGTGCTCTGCTTTCAGCTAAGCTCCATCTAACATTGCCTATAATGTCCCTAATGCCAAGGCCTCTTCTAAACCCAGCTTGTATTTCTGATAGTTCTCTGTTGATGTACTGTTTCAGTCATTTTAAAATTATCTTCAGCAGGATTTTGCTTACATGTGATATTAGTGATAATTTCCACACACTCTTGGGTCACCATTTTTTTAGGATGGGAAAAAATATAGATCTCTTCCACTCAGGTTAGCCACGTAGTTGTCCTCCAGATTTCTTGGCATAACCTGGTGAGCACATCCAGAGCAGCATCCATTTACTTAAATACATCAACTGGTATGCCGTCAATTCCTGGGGCCTTGTTTTTTGCCAGTTCTTTCAGAGCACCTTAAACTTCCTCCTTTGTCACCATTGCCACTTGATCATATGTTGTTTCATGAAATTCTTCTGTGTCAACCAATTCTTTTGGCACAGTGACTGTGTACCCCTTTCATCTTCTTTTGATCCTTCCTGGGTCCTTCAACATTCTGCCTTACAGCATCCTTAAATATTGCAACTCGAGGCTTGAATTTGTTCTTCAGTTCCTTCATCTTAAGAACTACTGAGCTAGTTCATCCCTTTTGATTTTCTGACTCCAGTTCTTTGCATGTTTCATTATAGTACTTTGCTTTGTCTTACTGAGCTGTGTTTTGAAATCTTCTGTTCAGCTCTTTAACTTCTTTAATTTCTTCCCTTTGCTTTGACTTCTTGGAGCTTTAGTGCAATGTCTCTTCTGACATCCATCTTGGTCTTTTCTTCTACTATCTTTGTAATGACCTTTTGCATTCTTCATAGAAGATATTCTTAATTTCTTTCCATAGCTCAGGTAATCTTTACTCGTTAGTGAAGTTCAAGGCCTCAAGTTCCTAAGATGGTTTTTAAATTCAGGTGGGATAAGCTTGAGATAAAACTTTGATTCTTGTGGATTTGATTTCATTTTCTTTAGCTTCATTTTGAACTTGCATGTGAGTAATTGATGGTCTGTTCCACAATTAGCACCTGGCCTAGTTTTCACAGCAGATATTGAGCTTCTCCACTGATTTTTTCCACAGATATAATTAATCTGATTTCTGTGTAGACCATCAGGTGAATTTCATGTATATAGTTGCCATTTGTGTTTCTTATAAAAAGTGTTTGCAATGAACAAAGTATTGATTGTGTAGTATTCTATCATTCTGTCTCCAGTTTCATTTCCGTGTTTCCCAACTATTGATCCTTATTCCCTGTTCCCAGCTTTTGCATTCCAGCCACCCATTATTATGAAGCATCTTGATTGCATGTTCAATCGATTTCTGACTGCAAAAATTGGTAGAAGTCATCTGTTTCCTTCTCTTTGGCTCTGGTTGTTGGTGCATGCATTTGAATGCACTGCAGCATCGTATAGTGTGATAGTGTGTGTTGTACATATTACTAAGGATAAGATGCCTCGCAAAATAAATAGGTTTTTGTTTGTTTTTAAGAAATAGTTTTAAGTGACATTTGTTGTGATGCCAATATTCGCATGACATCACCTGTATACAGCCTTAGAATAATGCTGGGGTGAATGCTATAAAGGTTTATGATTAACCCTCTGCCTTCATTTTCAGGAAAGTGTGCCTCTTCTCTAGGTTAAAAATGGCCCCAGGCACTCATTACTCATGTCACCCCTATAAGTTTTAATCACCCCAAGGGATCAAAGCCATTTGTTCCCTGTTCTCGCATGGTCTCAGGATGCACTCTGATTAGCTGCTCAGGACCATGTGCTCAGACCTAAGCTAATTACCAAAACCAGAGACAGAGACAACTCTGATGGGCTTAGTGTGGGCAACCAAAAGATCCTGGAATCCCTGAGACTTAAAGAGCATGATTTTGAGTATGGAGGAGAAGCTCAGGTACTTTGCTGAGGAGAATCAGGGCCTCTGGGGTAGATGCTGCTGGGCGGGCTGGGCTGGGGAGAATGGACAAGAGTATAGACTCCTTCCTGCCCCACAGATGGTCGTGTGTCCTTTGAGAAGCTGCCCAAGTACCAGTCACCCTGCCAATCACTACAAAGTACTGATCTGTCAGATGAGTCGGTGTTGGGAGCAGGGGAGAGAGGCGGAGTACCACAAACTGGGAGGGGGGTGAGGGCAGAGTCCAGGCCCTAATGAGGACCACCACCCTGCTGTCTGTCCTGCAGCTAACTGCTCCATCTTATGGACTGTATATATCAACGCTAACAATGAATTGTTGCTGCTTGTGGAGAACATCTACACTGAGATCCTGAAGACTTACCTGCTCGTCAGCTACAACCTGTGTAATCCAGGCTTTGCGGGGGCAGGGCACCAGGGGGCCAGCAACCAGCCTGTGGACTGTGCGTGTGCCCATAGTGATCTGTGCCCAGTAGGCAATGGAAAGGAAACAGAGTATTGCTTATGGTACCCTAAAGGAAGTCTGGTGACATAGTTGTGCTGCTAACAGAAAGGTTGGTGGTTCAAATCCTCCAGCTGATTCTCCAGAGGAAGATAGGGAGCCTCCTGCTGTAAAGATTTACAACCTCAGAAACCCAATCGAGTGTTGCCATGAGTCAGAACTGACTGGGGAGTTATGGCACTCCTGGGTAAGGGGTGGTGTTAAATCAGAATTCAGCCAGGGAGGAATGGAGAGAGGAAGGAGGGAGAGACTAGGGAGGGAAGCACAAGCCAGAAACTGCAGGATCTTGGACTCCTGATGAAGAGACTAGATTTTGTTTATGTACAGCAAGCACAGGGTTAATATGTACAGTTTTACCATCTGTGCATTGCTCAAGAGTGCTCCATCCCAGGGTCAAAGGAGGCAAAGCAAGTGTCCTACCAAGACTATACTCTCAGAGTCCGTGCCTTTTTAAAGTTATAATTCACACCAAGAAGTTTGTCTAAGTGGGAAACCCTTGGAGGCTTTTATGGGAGCTGAAACCTTACTGTAGCTTCAGTTCTTAACACTGAGAGTCGAGATCTTAGTAAGGATTGTCCTGTGCTTGCTCCTCCTACAGTCACAGAGCAGCTGATCTTTCTCTACGAGTTGCCCAGATTTATCCCTGATGGTAAGAAGGGAAGGGAGAGGTGGCCTCAGAGGTGGGCAAGAGGCCAGGAGGGCTCCAGGTGACCCTCACCTGTTGCTGTGTCTGTTGTGCCTCTGCCCTGGTCAGCTCAAGGCCTCAAGTTTGTGATGCTCCAAAAGTTAGAGTTGTCCACCAAAGTGCCTCTCACACCCCTGGGCCTGTTCTTCAATCCATACAACAACATGCTGTTCATTTGGGGCAACTTCATTGTGCAGAGGTGAGCACCAGCCTACCCCTCCTAGGCAGCCAGGCATCGTCTGCCTTCCTAGCCCTGCTAGGTGGCTGGAAAAGGCTGAGAAGGGGCCAGCCACCCTTCTTAAAGTTACCAAGCCTTCGGCATGTGCCAGGTCCAGGTATTATTAGGGCTGTGATGTGGAAAACACCAGTTCAAGTGAGCAGAGCTAGTAGTCCAGATTATAAAGCTGTGGGAACCCTTTCTAAAGGAAACTTTTCAAAAAGACCCCAGTTACATAAAGACCTCTGGGAAAGGGTAAGGCTTTTTTCTGCTCAGCCACCTTTCAACCCCAGGGACCCCTCACCACCTCCAGGCCAGTGAGTGGGTTTGGATGGGAGGTAGTTGCTAGGAAGTCATGCTCCTACTCTCACAAGGTTGTAGGAGAAAGTGGAAAAACACTGCCTGTGCAATGGTATGCTGGGAGTTAGGGGTTGTGGCAGGGAGTTCTAGGTGTGAAGTAGCTCACCTAGTTTCCCTTCTCTACTCTTCCAGCTATGACCATGAAAACTACTTCTACCTGTCAGATTTTCCCAAGGAGTCTGTCATCAAGTACCTAGTCAACTCATACCATGGGGATATGGCGATTGTCACAGAGTCTGAGGAGGTGGGCTGCCGAGCCCCTCTCCCTTTCCTCCTTGTACCCACACTTGGTGTCAGGCACCTCCATCCTCTCTCAAGATGAAAGATTAGGGAAGAAACCCCCCTCAGATTGTTCTTTATAACTAAGGACGCTGGGACTCAGAGAGGCCAAGTGGCTTTTCTAAAGTCACACAGCAAAATGAAAGACCTGTCCTCAGAGCCATGATCTGCTTTCCCAGGTAGTGTTGCTTTCATTCCATCCTTCAGTTGTTCATTTTGCAATGACTGAGCCCTTACTAAAAGCCTGCTCCAGAGCTGGGGACCCAGAGGTGACTTAAGACAGCCCTGGGCCCTGCCCTCACGGGACTAATAATCCATTGAGAAGAGAGATACATCCCCAAGGACTAATTGTTCAGAGAGACCAGGATCAGGGCCAGGGAGACACTGGCATGTAGGTTGAGCCAGGATCAGGGAGAGACAGGAAGCACAGGAGTCAGGCCCAGTGAGAGAGAGAGAGAGAGAGAGAGTGTGTGAGAGAGAGAGAGAGAGAGACAGAGAGACAGAGAGGCCAGCAAGAGGATATTTCCAGGCTGAGGATGTGAGGGGAGGGGAGGTCTGGAATCAGGTATTAGGGGGTAGTGTGGGCGCATCATTCTAAAGGGCAGGGAAACTGAGGCCAAGTGGATGATGAAACCACGGCAAGTGTAGAGAGTAAAGGGGAAAGACGAAGGTGGAGCAAGGATTTTTAGAAAGATGTGTATGTTAGGAATTCTTGGTTGCAAGTCACAGAATCACCACTCGAAGGACAGAAGCATTGAAGAGTTGTTATGGCAATGGGGCTCCATGTGGTGGGGTTCTGGGAAAGAGAGAGATGATATGTGGGCTTCCATGGTCCTGACAGGGCTCAGCGGTGCCCATACGCTTACCTATACACACCCCCACACACACACCTAGCTGCTCTTATCTAGGTCTGGTACCTCCTGGAGGGCAGCTACGATGTGTACAGGCTGTACCCATCTGAGGGCTGGGACATGCACATCAGCATACAGATGATGAGGCAGTCGCCTTTCTATAGCTACAAGGAGACCATGGTCACCCTCTTCTACGAAGACAGCCAACTGTACCAGGTGCCAGCCCGGTGGGAGGGGGCCAGCCTGGTGGGAGGGCTGAGTGGGGGAAAGGAAGAGCTGCAAGGTGGCGGACACCAGCTGGCCAAGCCCTGCCTTCCCACTGCAGCTAGTGTACGTTTTCCAAGGCCCCAAGAGTGGGCTCATCAAGAGGCTGGTGCCTGTGGAACAGATTCTCATGTACCTCAAGCTGAGAAACAGTCATCTGGTGGCAGATCCTGGGTAAGATGATTCTAGACTACAGCAGAGCCCCAGGAACTGCCATTCTAGTCAGAGCTATGATGGGAGAAGCTATGGGGAAGGTGCAGTCAGGGAAAGCGCCAGAGAGAAGGAATTGTTGAGGTGTGAAGAAAGATGTGGTTATGTACCTTTTTGTCAGAACCAACTCCTAGCCAAGCCTCAAGTGGCTTTTCAGAGGCTGCAAACTGGTTAGTAAGAGAGTACCCATCTTTCTCCTGGTAGATTTGAACAGCCTGCCTTTGTTTTGGTAGCAAAACTCCTTATCCACTAAGTCACCAGAGTTACCTCCTGAAGGATGAGAAGGAATTAAGCCAAGTGAGAAAAAAGATGTCATGTGTGCAAAGGACTTGATAAAAAAAGCCTTGGTGTTGATGAACCTGAAGTGTTGTGATGAGGGGGGAGAGGCAAGCTAAGTAAAGTAAGTGGGCATGGGGAGGAGCTTGGATTTCATTTTGGTGGTCCTGGGGAGTCATTGATGGGACTAAGGGAAAGGCCTGGATGGTCACAAGTTACTGGGTTCAGTGATCCCCCTGGTGGAGCAGAGATTTAGAACCTGAGGTGACAAGCTGGATTGAGGAGCATCTAGGAAGAAGTCCAGGACTTTAGCCTAAAGGATTTAGGGATGGATCTTTAGCTGAAATGTCCAGCACCAACAGCTGAATCTGCTGTGGGAGGGCGACTGCTGACCTACTCCTGCCCTGGGAGTCAGCTGTGGTCCCCTTATTGCCCTTGACCAGGAGCATACCGAAGCCCAGCTTCTCCAACTTGTGCCCCTTCACGGTGATGCGCCTGGAGAATGTGCCAAATCCGCAAAAGTATACACGCCAGGAACGATACCAGGCCTTACCCCCCCGTGTCCTGACAGCCTCAGGCTTCCACAGTGAAGACTCACTGGCAGTCTACCAGGGCCTAGTCTACTACCTGCTGTGGTTGCACTCTGAGTATGACAAGGTGTGTGTGTATTTTGCAGGTTTGGCTCTTGCTGAGAGAGGACCCCAGGGGTCAGGACTGTTGAGGGGTGGGACTCAGAGAGCTTATGAGGTTGAGGAGAGACTGAGGAGGGTTGAAGGCTAGAGAGGGAGCTAGACTTCAAAGAAATAGACTCTACTGGCTCTGGATCATTCTCTTAAAAAATTTTTATTATATTGTGTGTGTGTACCATTGAATCAGATCTGACTGGTACTGGAGGAGATTGCCCCTCCTTCTCCAGCAGAGCATCTGGTGGATTTGAAACGCTCACCTTCAGGATCTAGATCATTCTTGAATGATCCAGAAAGCATCAAAACAAGATGGAGGGAATGCACAGTTACTGTACCAAAAGAACTGACTGACACTGAAAAATTTCAGGAAGTAACATAAATAGCCAAAGGTAATGAAGGAAGAAGTTCAAGCTGCATTGAAAGCATTGGCAAAAATAAGGCCCCAGAAATCAAAAGGATACTGATTGACATGTTTCAACATATGCAGCCCTGGATATGCTTACCAGTCTATGTCAGAATATTTGGAGGACAACTGTCTGGCTGACTGACTAGAAAAGATCAATACTTGTTCTCATTTCCAAGAAAGATGTTCGATCCAACAGAATGTGGAAACTATCAATATCATCATCATCACATGTAAGCAAAATAATACTGAAGATCATTCAAAAACAACTAGAATAGTACATGTTGTTATGTGCCATCGAGTCACCTACAACTCATACCCTATGTACAACAGCCCTAAACCCTGCTCTATCCTGTGTCAATCCGTCTCTGACACACCTATTCCTATTACCCCCATCACTGAATCAATCCATCTCATCGAGGGTCTTCCTCTCTTGCGCTGTCCCTCCACCCTCCCAAGCATGATGTCCCTCTCCAAGGACTGGTCCCTCCTTACAACATGTCCAAAGTATGTCAGACGAAGCTTCAGAATCCTTACCTCCAAGGAGCAGCCTGCTTTAACCCTCTCCAGGGAGAACCTGTTTATTTTCTTAGCAGTCCACGGTATATTCAATACTCTTCTCCAACAACTCAAAAGCATCAATTCTCTTATCATCCCTAGTTTAATAGTATGTAGATCAGGAATTTCCAGAAGCTCAAGCAAAATTTAGAAGAGTCTGTGACACCAGGGATATTATTGCTGATGACAAGGTAGATCCTTGCTGAAAATATAAGTATCAGAAGAATATCTGTTTGTGCTTTCTTGACTATGCAAAGACATTTAACTGTGTGTATCACAGCAAAATATAGCTAACATTGAGTAGAATTGGAATCCCAGAACACTTAATTATGCTCAAGTGAAACCTATGCCTAGACCAAGATGCTGCTGTGTAAACAGAGTATGGTTTAAAATTAAGAAAGGAGTATGTTGGATTATATTCTCTCTCCACATCTGTTCAGTCTGTATGCTGAGCAAATTATAGTCTAGAAGCTGGACTCCATGAAAAGGAAAGTGGCATCAGGATCAAGGGAATACTCATCAATAGCCTACATTATGTAAGTGACACAACCTTGCTTGCTGAAAGTGAGGAGGACTTCATGCACTTGCTGCAGAAAATCAAGGAATACCGCTTTCAATACGGAATACACTTTAAAAAAAATTTGTAACGAGATTAACAGTACCAAAATATTTCCTTAAAAAAAATTAAGACTGAAATGATGGATTTTAAAATGCCAATAAAAACTTGCCTTAATCTTTACCACATGAAGGAGCAATAAAGTAGATCATACACCTCCTCCACTGACCGGCTAAGTGTTCAGGTGAGCTCTGATTTCCAGGGAGATCACTCGACCGTCCCCCGCAGTCAGTAATACCCTGTGAATCAGGTAAGGAGGGAACCCCTGATCCTACAGCGCCGGGCTGTTGTATGGTTTAACTTTTCAGGTGTATCGCCTCTGTGAATAGTCCTATACAGGGGGCCCACGAGGGGGGATAAGGCCTCTCCCATGGACTTCGGGATTCTGTGAAAAATGCCTGACTACCTGAGGCGGATCCTGGGTCCGGGACGGGAAACATCAAGAGCGAGCTGGGTATATTTGGATGCAGTGGCCTTTATACTGAAGTCCGTTGTAAAAAAACTCATGGACTGGTTCCATGAAATGCAAGGAGTCTTCGAAGTCACCTGACCTGGACACATCGGAACCCCAATTCCTTCTGATGGGGCCATTCTGCAGGTCTTCAATGTAATTCTTCCTTTCTATGCAATGCCCCCAGCACCTATTAAGTAATTCAATTGCGTCATCTGGCCTCATGGCCTTCCACGTCAATCAAATATCTTTTGTATATAATAAAGTTGCGTATAGGTTAAATCAATAATCAGTCCAAGTTCGTCATTTTGTTCCTGGATTTTGTTAAAAAGATCCAGAGGAGGAAAACACTCTTCTGGTGCAAGACTCCATTCAAAAAGTTTTTTCAAAGGAACTTTGAAAGCAATTAAACGAGTCCTAGGCATCTGCTGCCCAACTGGAAGGTAGTTTTTCTACCTCTCGGGGATGTGATTCTTGACTTTTTGCATGGCGAGTGTCCAGAAAAGGCCTGTCCTGGGCCCCAGTTGCCGCAGGCATGATCCCAAGTGGCTCTTGTGGGCCCCAAGGCGCCGCAGGCCCAACACCAGCCCCAGGGCCAAGGCCGCAGCTTCTCGCAATGAGAACCCTCAGTGGAAGGGGCCGACTGACCACTGCGCCTGAGCAAGCCGTGCGTGGACTACATTTCGACATCAGGAAAACTAAAATTCTTACCACTGGACCAATAGGCAACATCATGGTATATGGAGAAAAGACTGAAATTGTCAATGATTTCATTTTATGTGGATCCACAATCAACACCTTTTGTACTAGCAGTCAGAAAATCAGGAGACATATTGTACAGGGAATGTCTGCAGTTGAGGACCTCTCCAAACTATTGAGGAGCAGTGATGTCGGCTAGAGGACTAAGGTGCACTTGATTCAGTCCAAGCTCTTTCCAAGCATCTTGTGATGCATCTGAGAGCTGGACAATGAATAAGGATGACAGAAGAAAAATTGATGCTGTTGAACTGTGGTGTTGTAGACGGAAGAAAAATTGATGCCTTTGAACTGTGGTGTTGTAGAAGAATGCTGAATGTCCCATAGACTGCCAAAAGAACAAACAAATATGTCAGAAAATACAACCAGAGTGCTCCTTGGAGCAAGGATGATAAAGCTTTGTCTTATATATTTTGGGCATATTGCTAGGAAAGGGACATCATGTTTGAGAAGGTGGAGGATCTCAGCAGAAGAGCTTAGGAAGACCCTCAATCAAATGGGTTGACACAGTGACTACTGCAATGGGCTCGAGTGTGTTACATATTGTGAGGATGGTACCAGATAGTACAGGATTCAGCTCTGTTGTTCATGGGGGTGCGATGTGTCATACTTGATTGAATGGCACCTAACAACAGCTGGCTCTAGTGGCCTTCTCCTTGTTGTGGACCAGCAGGTTTTTCAGAGAGATTGCCCATTCTCCTGCAGAACAACCCTGTACTTTTGAGATTCAGTGCAGCTTCTTACCACTAGGCCACCCTGTCATTGGTGGTGTCAGGTGCCACTGAATATGACTCATAGCAACCCTGTGGATAACAGGTCTGAACTTTGTCCTATCCTGGGCCATCCTCGAAATCTCTGATGCGTTCAAGTCTATTGCTTCAGTTGCTGTGTCAAACCTCCTGGTTGAGGATCTTCCTTTCTCCACCATGTCCTTCTCCAAGAAATAACATCTCCTAGCAACATGCCCAAAGTATGTGAAAAGAAGCTTCATCAATTGCACTGTCGGCTGCAGCTGGTTTTCTATTCGATTAGCTGCTCTCCAGAGAAAGATAGGGAATCTCCTCTGCAGTTTACAGCCTGGGAAAACTCACTGGAGGATCAGCTTTAAGTCATTTCTGACTGGGTGGTACATAATAAGTGTTACTGTAGTTAAGAACTAGGTTTGTGACCAAGAGGTCGGTAATTGAAATCCACAAACTACTCCATAAGAGAAAAATCTGGCAGTCAGCATCTATAAAGATTATAGCCTTGGAATCCCTGTGGGGGTTGTCACCTGACTGTCTCCAGTTTGGAGGCTCATGCGTGAAGCAGTTGCATTCTGGAAGGCAGGTTCTCTTGTTTAGTTGAAAGGCGGGTGTAAGCTGTTTGGTTGTTTTTATTTAATTACAATTCTGTGTGGACTGATTTGATTTACTGGATTTAACAATGAGCTGTGGGCTGGAAGCCTTTTGTTTAAGTCAATCAGGACCTGATGGGCTGGCCTTTGTATTTAAAAGTCAGTTGAACCCTCCAGCCTGGTGTCATTATGTTTGGGAAGGACATTCTATCAATTTCTTGTACTGAGATAACATGTGTTATCTCAGCTGTGATGCTTAATTATGTGCTATAATGGTTACCCATGGTGGACAGTGTTTGGTGGAGATCCCAGATTAAGACAGGTATGGAAGCAGGATTGGCATCCACTTCCTAAACAACCTGCCTCTGGAAACTCTATGAACATTAGAGAAATGACAATAGTTATAGAATAAGGTTCAAATCTTTTGTTCATTGGGTCGCTATGAGTCGTGCTTGACTTGAAGGCACTTAACAACAGGTTCAAATGGGCTTTCAAACAAGAGGTTGGGATTTTGAAAAGATAACTTTAAGGGCGTGGAAGAGCTTCTGTGGAGCTGGTTACAGGTCTTGGGGGACAGAGACATATTAGGGTCTTAGTTTGAGTTGAGTTGAAAGCCTGGGCAAGGGCTTAGTAACCTCTGGTGCTTGGTGGTCCCTACAGCCCTACGCAGAACCAGTGCATGACCCCACCTGGCGCTGGTGGGAGAGCAAGAAACACGACCAGGTACCGTGCGGGGAGAGGTGGGGAGGTGGACACCAGTGCATCCCGCGCTGACACCTCATAGCGTTCACTCTTTCCCAGAGTTACTATTTTTACCTGGCCAGCAACTGGCAGAGCGAGAGTGGCGTGTACGTTGAGATGGAAAGCTACGAAAAGTTCTACCACCTCCAGCCGGAGGCTGAACTGCCTGAGCGCATTTTCCTAGACAAGGGAAGCTCCTACAGCTTCTCCATCCGGCTCACTGCCCGCAAGGGCTTCCACAGCCTCCAACCCATGCTTGGTTCGTGGGCGGGGCTTTGCAGGCGCCGCTTACGGGGCGGGGACAGGCGGGGGCGGGGCCGGGCCGGGCCGACGCGCGGGCGGAGCCAGGGCGCCCCAAGAGCTGGGATCCTTGGTGGTTTGGACACTATTTGAGGGGGGCTGATACTGGGTCCGGGATTTGAACCATAACCACTCTGATGCCCTGCGCAGGCACCAACTTTCTTCTGGACAACCAGCTGGGTCTGGGCGTGATGCTGGCCCACCCAAAGTGCATCAAAGCGACAGTGACAGAGAGGGTTATTATTAGTCAAAACTCCATGGTGTTCCATGTGAGACAACCCCTCCCCCCAATTGAGGGAGGGAGGGGACTGTAAGGAAATGAAAAGCCCACTGTGCCCTTCCTTCATACGGGGGGTCCTGTGAACTGGTTGGCTCCTTTAAGCTTCCATTTTGCCCCAGGTTTCGATCAGAGATAGGAGGCAATGTTTTGACCATGGTATCAGTGGACGACACCTCAAAAGGACCTCGGTGCTGGTCAAGGTACAGCCCAAGAGGGAGGGATTTAGGATGAGGGAGAGAAAGGAGACCTATGGTTGCCACTATCACCCTGCCCCTCCCCCACAGGTGATGGGCTCCGCAGGGCAGTGTTTCCAGAACACCCACCTGGGGCCACGCACGCAAGTACTGGAGCTTGGGGCACTGGGCCTGGTGCAGGGTGGGAAGGGGATAGTCAATTGGGCCTCTATAGGGCTCAGAAGCTGTTTAAAGGTTTATCTGACTAGTGTCCGTCCTTGGCAATAGTCATGGATTTCTTCTATTAATTTTCTTCATTGTTTTAACCGAATACCCAAACTTTCTTCAGTTGCTATGTTATTCTAACCCTAAGAGGTTTGAGCAAAGTCTGGTAGAAATCGGTGCATCAGGGTTTCTACCTGAATGAAGATAACAGAGGCTGGGTGTAAAATGTTCACATACTTTGGGCATGTTGCTAGGAGAGGCTACATCATGGAGAGGGACATCAGGCCCCTTCTAAGGGACAGAGAGGAAGATCCTCAATGAGATGAATTGCAACAAAGTGCTCAAATGTGTCAGAGGTTGTGAGGATGTTACAGGAGAGGACAGGGTTCAGATGTTGTTTATAGGGTCTGTAAGGAAGTCAGAGGGTCGAGATTTCTGTCTGAATGAAGATGGCTGAGGCAGGATGTTTCTGCTGAAAGGTCTCTTTAGTCACTTTCTATAATTCTGAGAGCTGGACAAGGAGTTAGGATTACGAAGAAGAATTGATGCCTTTGAACTGTGGTGTTGGAGAAGAGCACTGAATATCCCGTGGGCTGTCAGAAGAACAGTTATGTCTTGGAAAAGGTGCAGCCAGAGTACTCTTTGGAGGCAAAGATGATAAAGCTTCATCTCACATACTCGGCGCATGCTGCTAGGAGAGAGAGACATCATGCTTGGAAAGGTGGAGGGATGGCAAAAGTCAGGAAGATCCCCAACAAGATGGTTGACACAGTGACTGCAGCAATGGGCTCGAGTGTGTCAGAGATTGTGAGGATGGTGCAGGTTCAGATGTTTTGTAATAGGGTCGCTATGAGTCATACTTGATTCGACAGTACCTACCGCCACCGCCACCACCACATACCTTTCATCCATTTGCATTTTCATCATGAGTTGCCTATATTGTTGTGTAGGGCACACGCTCTTGTCTGTCATCCTGACAATTCAGCCCTTCTTTCACCCCATTTGCTGCCTCAGGTGACTCTTTTGCTTTTTCCTTGGGAGCTTTGGTTCTTGCTTCCCGATTGCACAGAGCTAACATTGAGGCTCAAGCCTCTGCTCAGAGTAATCTGAGGAGTTAATTCAGGGGTAGAGCTCTGGTGGCTTAGTGGTAAGGAGTTGTGCTGCCTTCCCAAAGGAATGTGGTTCAAATCCACTAGCTGCTCCTCGAGAGAAAGATGGGTAGTTTCCTGTGTGACTTGCTGCATCTGAAAACCTGCTGACTACAATGTTATTCATTGCCGTCGAATTGGAGCCAAACCATAGTTGACTCTCCAGTGGGTTTTCAGAGGTGTAAATGGCATAGGAAGAGGATGCCCTTCTTTCTCCCACAGAGCAGCTGGTTGATTAGAACCCTGTGCCTTTGGATTAGCAATATAGCTCCTTACACACTGGACCACCAGAGCTCCTTGTGATTATAATGCTGTTGTTGTGTGCAATCAAGTTGGAACTGACTCATAGATGACCTTCCAGCTAGTTTTCAGAGGCAGATTGCTCATCTTTCTCCCACAGAACAGCTGGCAGGAGTTGAACTGCATACCTTTGGGATTGCAGCTCAGCTTCTTACCACTAAGCCACCCGAGCTCCCTAATTATAATACCAACATTTGTTGTTGTTGTTGTTGTTATGTGCCGTCAAGTCACCTGTGACTCATAGTGACCCTATGTACAACATCCCTAATCCCTGCTCTGTTCTGTGCCAATCTCACTGTCTCTGACACACCTACCCCCATTACCCCAGTCATTGACTCAGTCCACCTCATAGAAGGTCTTCCCCTCCTGCGCTGTCCCTCCACCCTCCCAAGCATGATGTCTGTCTCCAAGGACTGGTTCCTCCTTGCAACATATCCAAAGTATGTCAGACGAAGCTTCAGAATCCTTGCCTCCAAGGAACAGCCTGGTTTAACCTTCTGCAGGATGAAGCTGTTCTTTTCTTAGCAGTCCATAATATATTCAATACCTTCTCCAACACCACAGCTCAAAGGCATCAATTCTCCTTCTGTCATCCCTAGTCATTGTCCAACTCTCTGATGCATAGCAAGTAATTGCAGAGACCATGGTCTGTGTCAGGCGCACCTTAGTCTTCAAAGTGACACCATTGCTCTTCAGTACTTTGGAGAGGTCCCTAACGGCAGACTTTCCTGTTGCAATATGTCTTTTAATTTCCTGGCTGCTGGTGCCGAGAGTGTTGACTGTGGAGCCAAGCAAACTAAAGCTGTGAATAATCTCAATCTCTTCACCATCCATCCTAATGCTGCCAATTGGCCCAGTGGTGAGAATCTTTGTTTTCTTGATTTTGAGCCTCAATCTATATTGAAGGTTGCAGTCCTTGCCTTCTGCAGCAAGTGATTCAGGTCCTCCTCAGTTTCAGCACGCAGGGTTGTGTCATCTGCATAATGCAGATTTGTAGAATTTTTTTAAAAATTATTATTAAATTTTATTAGTTTTAGAGATTTGTAGAATTTTTTTAAACTCAATGACTTTTTAAAAATCTCTATTTTCCAGATAAGGAAATAAAGACAGTGAAAGTAAGATATTGTTATTAAGTGTCATTGAGTCAACTCTGTCTCATAGCAACCCTATCCTGATCCTGCACCATCCAAGCAATCTCTGCTGTGCTTAAATTGTTGCAGTCACTGCATCAGTCTGTCTCGCTCAGGTGTAGTCTGAGCTTTCTTTCTTCTCAGCCTGGGGCTTCTAGTTTTCTCACTTCTTTACTCTCCACTACTGTGTTATTATGTCAAGAGACGTGGATCTAGAAGCTATCAGGCCTCTTTCTGGCTCCCCATCCTGGAGAAAAATAGAAACTGGAACTAATTATACACAGTAGGTTATCAACCACTAAATGCTTTAGGTAAAAGAAGGAAGACATTAATTTACACTCAGTGAAACTTTGTTTCATATACTTTCGATGTGTTGCCAGGAGAGACCATTATGCTTGGAAGGATAGAGGGTCAGCACAGGAGAGGAAGACCCTGAATGAGATGGAGTGACACAATGACTGTGGCATGGGGTCCAGTGTTTTAGAGATGGTGGTGAGCTTGACTCAGGAAAGGGCAAGGTTCAAAGCCATTGTTCATAGGGTCATATGAGTCAGGGTCAACTTGATGGCACATAATAACAATATCATGATATTGCTTATTGGTTCTGTTATGAGGATTTTTGTTTTCTTAATGCTGAAATATAATCCATACTGAAGATAATAAAATCTTCTTCAGTAAGTGCTTCAAGTCTTCTTCATTTTTTGCAAGCAAGGTTGTGTCATCTGCATAACACAGTTTGTTGATGAGTCTTTCTCAAATCCTGATGTTACATTCAGCTTCTTGAGTTATTTGCCCAGCATACAGATTAAATACACATGAAGAAAAGAGACAGCCCTGCTACATACTTTTCTTGATTTTAAGCTATGAAGTGCTCTCTTATTCTGTCCAGGTTTAGATAACTGCTTCTCGATTTTGTACAGATGTCTCATGAACACAATTAAACATCCTGGGATCCCATTCTTTTCAGTATTATCCATAACTTACTGTGATCCACAGTCAATAAAATACAAATAAACATCTTTCTAGTACTCTCCGCTTCAGCCAAGATGTGTCTAACATCAGGAGTGGTATCCTTTGTATCACAGCCTCTTCTAAAATCTAGTTTGAATTTCTGAAAGTTCCCTGTCCATATATTGTTCCCAGCTGTCTCTGAAGGATCTTCAGGAAGATTTTACTTGTGTGTGATACTAATGATAGTCTTTGATATTAATATTGATGGCAATAAAAAATTAACAGATAGCAAATATTAAGAGGCAAAATGGACTAGGATTCAATTAAGCAGGGAAGTGACATAGAGGTTGCAGTTTTCTGGAAGATGATAAGGGAAGGCCTTGCTTGTGTGGACGTATCTTGGTAAAATGAACAATTAAGGCAGACCAGGGAAAGGGAACAGATTGGAGGAAGGCTTTGAGGTGAGAGCATGTTTCAAGTGTAAAAAGAAAGAAACAGTAATGAGTAAGTGTGGCTAGATCATGGTGAGCAAGGAGGGGAGTGGAAAGATAGGTCAGTGAGGACAGATCTCTTGGAGGTGGGGTACCTTGTGGGCTGCGGTGAGTGACAAGGAAGGAGGATATGATCTGAGTCCTCAAGGAATAGGTGTGGAGGGCAGACCTGCAGCAGGGAGCCTGGACAGACAGATTTGGGCAATACCAGTGTTGAGGCAAAAGAATTGGCTCAGGGTCTCTTTTGCAGATCTGACTCAACAGGATGGACAAGATGTGGGCACAAGAGAAAGGAACGTGCAGGCAGGGCATTTGGTGTACACAGCTGGAGGGCTGGAGATACCATTAACTGAGAGAGGCAAGAAGTGCATTCTGAAATGCCTCTCCGATTTTGCAGTGAGGCTGATAGATGGAAAAGCGTGGCTGCAAAAGGGCTTAACTCAGGCCACTGCCTCTGTTTGCCGGCTCCTGTGGATCTCGGTCACAGTCTTTGGATGTCCGTGGCCCATAATTGGGTGAGCCTCTGGAACCCTCCCAAAGTGGGAACAGAGGCTTTTTTATTCTAAAGACAGTGTCTTCCTTCATGTGCCCATCACATCTATGGTTCAAAAATTCTATAAAGCTCCAACAAAGAGTTGGTGCTTCATAGGTGTGGATGCTAATGGTTTTACATGTCCTATTTGGAAAGGGACATCATGCTTGGAAAGGTCAGCATAAGAGAGGAAGACCTCCAGTGAGAAGAACTGATGCTGTGACTGTGACAATGGGCTCAAGTATCTCAGAGATGATAAGGATGGCACAGAATAGGACAAGGTTCAGATCTGTTGTTCATAGGATTGCTATGAGTCATTGGCTTGAAGGTATCTAATAACCACATTCTGGAGATAAGAGGCCTGATCTCGTAGTGCATTACACGTTGGGCTCTTAACTGAAAGGTCAGCAATTCAAATTCAACAGGCAGTTTTCTGTAAAGTTTATAGCCTCAGAACCCCACAAAGGAAGGTCCCCATGAGTCAAAAAAATTGCTCACCAGTTGGGGCTTATTTTTTGGGGAAGATGGTATTCTAGAGACAGCAGAAGCCAATGTGCCTCCTTTCCAGTCTTATCTCTACCACTTAACATCTGTATGATTGTAGGTGCTGTTGAGTTGAATCTGACTCATATTGACCCAGCAGCCCTATGAACAAAAGACCTGAACCCCATTCTGTCCTGCGCCATCCTCACACTTCCTGACACACAAGAGCACATTGCAGCAGTCATCATGTCATTCCACCTGGTCGAAGTTCTTCCTCTGCTTTGCTGATGCTCCACCCTTCCAAGCATCATGTCTTTCTCCAGGGTATAGTCCCGCCTAGCAACATGTCCAAATTATGTGGACAAAGCCTCATAATTCTTGCCTCCAAAGAGCACTCCAGCTGACCCTTCTCCAAGACATATCTATTTGTCCATGGGATGCTCAGTGCTCTTCTCCAACACCACGACTCAAACACGTTAATTCTTCTGTCATCCTTATTCATTGTCCAGCACAGCAAACAATCGGAAAGACTGTGGCCTGAATTAGATGCCTCAAACTGACATAATTATTCCTCAATAATGTGGAGAGGCTCCTAACTGCAGATTTTCTCAATACAGTACTTCTCATTATTTCCTGACTGCTGATACCAAGGGTGTTATTTGTAGATAATTAATAAGTTGCTAGACTTCTTTGGGCTTCATATTTCCCATCTTTAAAATGAAGATATTTATAGCCTATATCATGCAAGGTTCTAACTACAGGGCAATGGATGAGACTCGAAACTATGCAGGGCTGTTTTTGTTATTGTTATCTGAGTGAAAGTTTACAGAATATATTGTTAATTCATGCATTCATTCCTGCACATTTCATTTTGTAACATTAACAATACCCACAATGTACTTGCAGTTTTAAAAATGTCTTCCCTGTAATTCTCATTTTCATTAATCCCTCTGTCCTTCCCCTTCTTGTCTCCAGGGCTTTATCCTTGGCAAATGCTACTCTTTTGACCTTACATGGTTGTTGTTCTAGAACCTAGTGCCTCCCTTTGGTTTTGGTTACCTTGCAGGCCTGGCTATTGTTCAATTGCAAGGTGAATCATGGTAGTTAATTTTGTTCCAAATCAGAAGGGTGACTAAGTCTCAAGGGTTTCACAAATCTCTCTTGGACCTATAAGTCTCAACTTAAAATTTTGAGTTTTATTTCACAATTCCTCCCGTTCTATCCAGATTCTTCTTCTGTGATCCTTTATAGAGTGGTCAGTAGCTGGACATCTATTTCTTCTGGTCTCAGGGTCATGGAAGTTGAGTATTACATGGTCTCTTGGTCCTTTGGACTAAATGTTCCCAGTCCATTTTTGTTTCTCTCCCCTCTTCTTTGTTCTGGATGCAGGGCTATCTTGCAGATTAAATGAGCTTGATTGTGTAAAACAGAAACAGCACCCAGTGCCTGGTACACAATCTACACAAGTGTCTGTCCTTATCACAGATAGTATCTTAATGATAAAAAAATATCCTATTGATTGAAAGGGTGAGCTGGCTAGGTTGTGGGGTATCAGGGAACAGCCCTTCCCGTTTGGTGGGGGCCTTACAAATATCCTAGCCAACTCTAATATTAGATTTTCTCCTTCCACTCAGGGCCGCCTGATGCTGCCAGTGCTTATTGGCTGTCCACCAGGCAAGCGCCTGGTCTTTGACGTCACCTTCACATTGCAGTACAACCTCATGCAGAACAAACACTACTTTGACTGCATAAAAGCCGACCCTGAGATGCCCTGCTTCCACTTCCGTGACAGTGTGTGCTCTGCCCTCCATCCTCCATCCTTTCCTGACCACCTCCCTGTCCCTCGCCCTTTTCTTCCCTCTTCCTAGAGTCCTGCTTCCCTCTCCTCCCTCTGGCAACCTTTCTTCCTCAGGATGCACTTTCTTCTCCCCCTGCCTCCCTTCCCACTGTCTCTCCTCCATCTCAATCCCTCTCTCCTTTGCTTCCCGCCTTTTGTGTCCACCCCTTCTCAGCAGCCATCCCTGCTTCTCTTGCTTTCTCCCATCCTCTATTCATTTTCTGTCCAGCGTCTCCTTTCCTGCCTACCTTTCTTTCCACCCCTCCCCACCCTTCACTTTTGCAGCCGCACTAATTTCTTCTCCGCCTGTCTAAAACACCTCTCACTCCCTAGTCTTCTACCCCTTCTTCTTGATCCAAGATGTGGTGACTGGAAATGCTGGCCGTTTTATGGGCAAGTAAGGACATGGCCAGCCTGGTGGAGATGGCGGGGGAGGGAAATGCCCGGTTCAGGATCTCCGCTGCGCCACGTGTGTATCTTTGCCTCTGGTAGGTACATGCTGAAGGTGGTAGGTGGTGGGCCCACCCTCGATAGCATCCAGGACTACAGTAAGGAGGAAATCTTCCACTACAACAGTCACCAGGACAAGTAATCCCTGTGGGAGGCCCCAGTTCGAAATCTGCCTTCCTTTCCCTATAAGCTAAGTGACCCCGCCACACAGCCACCCATGGCTCCACCCTGCCCACTCACAGCCAAGGCTCTGGCCTCACTAAAGTGACCACCCTACACAGGACAGGCAGCCTCATCTGGACCGTGAGGAACAAGACAGTAATGGACAAAAATATGACCTTGATTGATGGAGCCTTCCATGTCTTCAAGTATGGTTTGAACTTGGGCATCGAGTGAGTATGGGTCCAGCTGTGGACCCCTTATTCTGCTTCTGTTCACAATCTGCTGAGCCTGCTTGTCCTTTCTGCCTCGGGAAGAAGGTCGCTGGTTCCCCAAGCCATGCACGCTGATTCTGTGTTCCTCCAATGGATCCGACCTCTACCTTAGTCAACCATCTGTCTGGAATGCCCATCCCTCTTATTCTTATTAGGCTTTAGTTCAGCCAAGAGGATTTTTCTGACTTCTAAGGTGGGACAGAAGCCTCTTTTTGGCCCCTGTAGCCTTGAGTGCCCATCCCAGTCCCTACCACTCTGCCCAGGCCTCCAGCTTGCCTCACCACTCTAGACTGCCCCTGCCTCTCATGGAACCTATCTTCCCTACAAGTCCGGTCTTGGATAGATTCAACAGAGTGTATGCTGAATGAAAGAATAAGCAATTCATATTAAATGTTTACTGACACTTGAATGAGGTTCCTGGGTGGTGCAAACAATTTAATCTACTGGTAGCATAAAGGGTAGTGGTTCAAACCCTCCATTTGACATCTCAGAAGGAAAGACCCTATCCAGATCTGAGGCTTGCCCTAGCCGAAGTCACCCTTACAACCTCTGTCATGTTCAAGCTCAATGTAGCATTCGAAATGCCACCATCTCCTTGAAAATCTTTCTCTCTTTTACTGACCTTCCAACTTTCCCAAGCATGATATTTTTCCCCGGGGACTAGCCCTCCTGCCGGCCGGCCCACAGTCTGTGGGAAAAACCGTCCCTGCCCTTGCCTCTGAGGAGCACCCTGGTGACGCTTTATCCCAACTGTCTGTCCCTTGCTTGTTCTTTGGTGGTCCAGGAGGTATTCAACACTCTGCCAACATCCAAATTCAAAGGAACACATTCTTCCTTGGTCGTTTTTATTCATCATCCAACGTCCACATACATAGATTGTTATTGTTAGGTGCTATCGAGTTGAGTACAGCCCAAAACGATACTGTGAACAACAGATCTGAGCCCTGTCCTATCCTGTGCCTTCCTCATACTTCCTCACACTTGAGCCCATTGCAGCGGTCAACCCATCTAGTTGGGGGTCTTCCTCTCCTTCCCCAACATCTTCCCAAGCATGATATCACTCTCCAAGGAATACTTTCTCCTAGCAATATGCCTAAAGTATGTAAAATGAAGCTTTATCATCCTTGCCTCCAAGGAGCACTCTGGCTGCACCTTCTCCAAGACATAGTTCCTTTGGCAGACCGTGGAACATTCCACACTCCTCTCCAACACCACAGTTCAAAGGCAGCAGTTCTTCTTCTGTCATTCTTAGTCAGTATACAGCTCTCAGATGTACAGCAAGTGACTTAAAATAGCATGGCCTGAATCAGGTGTGCCTTAGTCCTCAAACTGACATCATTGCTCCTCAATAATTGAGAGAGTTCTCCACCTGCAGACTTTCCCAGTACAATTTTTTTTCTCTTGTTCTCCTGACTGCTGGTATCAAGGGTGTTGGTTATGGATCCAACTAAGATGAAATCATTGACAACTTCAATCTTTTCTCTTTATATCATGATGGTCTTTCTAAAGCTGAGAAAATGGAAAAACAAATTTAAGCTTCAAGTCTAATATTGGAGGATGCTATGGGAGATATGTTGAATGATCCAGGAAGATTCAAAGGAAGATGGAGGGGAATACACAGAGTCACTATACTAAAAATAATTTACTGACAATGAAAATTTTCAGGAAGTACCATATGAACAAGAGCCAATAGTAATGAATGAAGAAGTTCAAGCTGCACTGAAGGCATTGACAAGAAAAATAAGGCCCCAGGAATCAATGGGATACCGACTGACATGCTTTGACTAACAGATGCAGCCCTAGATGTGCTTACCAGTCTATGCCAGAAAATCTGGAGGACAACTGTCCGGCCTACTGACTGGAAGAAAACCTTGTTTGTTCCCATTCTCAAGAAAAGTGATCCAACAGAATGTGGAAATTGTCTTAACATATCATTAATATCACATGCAAGCAAAATACTATGGAGGATCATTTTGAAATGGCTAGAACAGTACATCTATAGGGAATTGCCAGAAATTCAAGCAGGATTTAGAAGAGGCCATGGCACATGGGGTATCATAACTGAAATCAGATGGCTGAATGTAAAGAATACTAGAAGAATGTTTGTGCTTTATTGACTATGCAAAGGCATTTGTGTGGATCACAATAAATTATGGCTTACATTGAGAAGATTGGAAATCCCAGAACACTTGATTGTGCTTATGCAAAACCTATACCTTAGATCAAGAGACTGTTCTGAGAACAGAGCAAGGGAACACTGTTGTTATTATGTGTCATCAAGTTAAGTACAACTCATAGTGACCCTATGAGCTCTGTACCCTGCCCTCTCCTGAGCCAATCTCACTTGTCTCTGACGCACCTGCCCCCATTACCCCAGTCACTATGTCAACTCATCTCCTCTGGGGTTTTCTTCTCTACCCCGTCTCTCCACTCTTCCATGCATGTCCTTTCCAAGGACTGGTCCCTCCTGGTAGCATGCCCAAAGGATGTGAGATGGAGCCTCACAAATCTTTGCCTCTAAGGAGCAGCTTGGTTTCAGTCTCTCTAGGTCAAATCTGTTTGTTCTCTTGGTAGTCTATGATATGTTCAGTACTCTTCTCCAGCACCACAGCTCAAAGGCGTCAACACTACATGATTTAAAATTAAGAAAGGAGTGTGTTGATTGTATTCTCTCTACATACCTATTCAATCTGTATGCTGAACAAATTATTTGTATTGCAAACCGGACACAGAAAGAAAGCAGGGACACAGGGAAATGAATTCTGAAAAAGAAGGCTGATGCAGAGGTCCTTTCACAGCTTAGCACTGTGAAAAGGCAACTTTCTCAGTCTCCCTATGGTTTTTATTTAGTTTAAGTCAATCCTCCTAAAAAATCTCAATCTCCTGGGAATATATTTTCCTTATACTTAAGTGTTGCCAACATAAACGATGGGTAAGCTTAATCTTTAAACTAACATCAGAGTTCAGACATGGCATCCCCTCTGGTGGGAGGCTGGGCAGAAATCTCTGTTTGCAGAGGACATCCAGTATCTCCTCCCGGGGGCTGGGCAGAATTATCTGTTTGCAGAGGGTGCTCAGTCCTGTCTAGACTCTGATCTCAGCTGTGGCCCGGCTGTCACTATGTTGGGGAATCCATATATTTGAGAAGAAATGTAGCATCAGGATTGGAGGAAAACTCATCAATAATCCTGCATACAGCCTTGCTTGCTGAAAGTGAAAAGGATCTGATGCACTTGCTTCAGAAGATCAAGGAATACAGCCTTCAGTATCATTGATTACATCTCAACATGCATATGAAGCAATGGAAAATGCCATAGCTTGGATCAGGAGCAGCTTAGTCTTTAAGCTAACGTCCTTCTCTGTAACATTACTTTAAAGAGGTCTTTGACAGCAGATTTGCCTGATGCAACATGTCTTAATTTCTTTTTTAAAATTAATTTTTTTTCTATAATTATATTTTATTAATTTTCATAAACATTTACAGAGATTTTGGGCTTCCACTCATTCATTGTTGCACTATTCTCTCTACCCTCCTCCCAGTTTGTTCTTGTCCAAATGCCACAGTGCTTGTCAAAGCCAGTTCTGATTAATCTTCTTTGTCAGTGTGTCCTTTGCCATTCCCTATCACTCCTCCCTGAGAGAGACTTCACCCTGAGTCATAAGGAAAAGGGGACGGCGTATTCTCTTAGCTACTTCCTGCTGAAAAGGGACGCTGTGGGTTTCAGGGTGAAGATCTTCTCTCACTACTCTAAAGGGCCCCTTTGGCAGTAGGAAACACATAGACTATTATGGAGATTGATTTTGGAATTCAGATGCACTCTTATTGATTGTGCTTGGCTGTACATGTACATATCCTTGAAGATGTATCATGGGGGTGTTGCAACCTAGAAGACACAAATTTGACTAACAAGTTATAAGTACATGAGTCCAAAAATTATGGAAAAGTAAAAGAAAAGATTCTTTCATTGTTTTACAAACACTCCCCCAGGTCCCCTCCACCATGCAGCCCTCACCTAGTCTCCTGTGATGACAGAAATACCCAGTTACATCTCTCTTTTAGACGGTTCTCTCCCTCCTCTGTTTCAGTGCAGTATCCATTATTGAACCCATCTTACTCAGTCTCCCACCAACCCCAAGGACAGTCCCATTCTACAACAGAGGCATCATGGAATATTTGTCCTTTTGTGACCAAGATATTTCACTCAGCATAATGTTCTCCAGAGTCAACCATTTTGAATAATATTGCATGAGTTCCTTGTTTTTTAATGCAGCATAGTATTCCATTGTGCGAATATACCACAGCTTCTCTAGCCATTCGTTTGTTGATGGGCACTTAGGTTGTTTCCAACTCCTTGCTATTGTTTAAAATTAATTTTAATGAAAGTTTACAGAAACTTAGAATTTCCATTCATTCATTATTGCGCTTTTCTCCCTGACCACCCCTCCCCACACCAGTTCGCTCTTCTCTTTGAAAAGTAAAAGAAAAATTCTTTCATTATTATACAATCCCTACCCTCCCCCCCCAAGTCCGCTCCACTGTGCAGCCTTCATTCTGGACTCCTGTCATGACAATAATGCCTAATCACATATTCCTTTTAAACAGTTCTCTCCCTCATCTGTTTCAATGCAGTATACATCATTTATCCCCTCTTTCTCAGTCTCCCACCAACCCTGATGTCAGTCTCATTTTACAACAGAGGGATTATGGAGTATTTGTCCTTTTGTGACCAAGATATTTCACTCAGCATAATGTCCTCCAGGGTCACCCACTTTGTATAATATTTCATGAGTTCCTTGTTTTTCAATGCAGCATAGTATTCCATTGTGTGAATATACCAGAGCTTCTCTATCCATTCGTTTGTTGATGAGCACTTGGGTTGTTTCCAACTCTTTGCTATTAACAGTGAACAAAGAAAGCCACAATAAACATGGGTGTGCATGTACCTGCTTGGGTGGTAGTTCTGGTTTCTTTGGGGTATAATGCCAGTAGTAGAATTGCTGAGTCAAATGGTATTTCTATTTGCAACTTTTTGAGAAAGCACCATACTGCCTTCCATAGCAGTTGTACCATTTTACACTCCCACCAACAGTGAATAAGGGTTCCGGTTTCTCCACAACCTCGCTAACATTTGTTGTTTGCTGTTCTGTTAAATTTTGCTATTCTGACTGGGTTGAGATGATATCTCATAATTGTTTTGATGTCTTAATTTCTGGACTGCCTGGCTGTTGATTGTGGATCATGTCAAATTAAATCATTGACAATTTCGATTGTTTCTCGTCTATCACAATGTTGCTTACTGGTCCAATATTGAGGATTTTTTTGTTTTGTTGTTGTTGAAATGTAATCCATTTGAAAGCTGTATAGTCTTTTATATTCTTCAGTAAGTGTTACATGTTTTCTTCACTTACTGCAAACAACATTGTACCCTGTGCATTTCACAGATTGTTGACGAGTCTTTCTTCAATCCTTATGCCACATTCTTCTTGATATAGTTGAATTTCTCAATTTATTTGCTCAACATACAGATTAAATAGGTATGGAGAGAAGATAAAACCCTGGCGGACACTCTTCCTGCTTTTAAACCATGCAGTGTTTCCTGTTCTGTTCTATTGGCTACTTCCTGGTCTTTGCACATGTTTTGGAGAGCACAATTAAATGTTCTGGAATTCTCTGGAAATCCATAACAATTACAACCAAAAAGATCATATGAAGTAGGTGTACAATGTACCACACAGAGTAGCTAGGAGCTGCAATTGCTAGCAACTGACTTGGATTCTTTGTTTTGACATTAGTAAATGAGTTTTAAAATAACGGAGGAACACATTAATGCATAAACTCAAAACCAGTCTGCTGTGCTCCACTGAACTGTGACTGCAGGACAGAGGAGAACTTTCTAAGGCTGTATGCCTTTATGGAAACAGATTTCCATTTCTTTCATACAGGGAACAGATTTGAACGCAGACTTTATGGGTGGTAGTTGAGCACTTTAACTACTGTGCCACCAAACCCACTGCCATTGCTTTAATTCTAACTCCTGGTGTTTCCAAAGCTGTCAGTCTTTATAGGAGGTGACTCCCTGTCTTTATTCGGCACAGCAGCTGGTAAATTCAACCTGCTGATCCACCACCCAGCCTCCCTAAGTTGATGTTATTAGATGTGGTCAAGTCACATGCCATTCATAGTCACACTGTGAACAACAGTCCTGAACCCTCTCCTCTCCTGCACCAAAACACTTGAGATGAACAGAAGATTTCAAAGGGCATCTGGAGAGGACAAAATACAAAGAATGTGCAAAGAGCTGGAGTTGGAGAATGAAAAGGGAAGAACTCTTTTGGCATTTCTCAAGTTGAAAGAACTGACAAATTCAAGCTTCAAGTTGTGATACGGTGAGACGCTATGGGAAAATTCTTGAATGATCCTGGAAGCATCAAAAAATGGAGGGGAAAACACAGAGTCACTGCACTAAAAAGAAGCCATTGACACTGAGCTATTTTCTTTTAATTGTTTTTTTATTATTATTTTATTGTGTGTGTACCATCAAATTGGATCTAACAGGTACGGGAGGAGATTGCACCTCCTTCTCCAGCAGAGCATCTGGTGGATTTGAACCGTTACACTGAGCTATTTTCAAAAGTAGCATATGATCAAGAGCCAATGGTGATAAGGTCAAGCTGCATTGAAGGCATTTGCTCCCTAAGTTAGTATACAAACACTCTGTAAACATTTTGATCCGATGAAAGGATGCCATGAGGAAGTGAATGATCAAATTAGCCCACTTGTGTCTAGTCAATATTCAGCCCCTGCTCTTTGAATGAGGGAAAGAAGAGGGGTGGCAGAATGAGCAAAGCTATGATCTTGGCACCCTGGAGATTTGTTGTTGAGTCTGATACATAGTTACCCTCGGGTGCAATGTATCAAAATCCTACCTGATCCCGGGTCACCCTGCAGTCTCTGAGGTGCTTAAATCTATTGCTGCTGTTAACATCTTCCTCTTCTTCACTGACCCTCTACTTTTCTGAGGACGGGTGTCTCCTGACAACATGTTCAGAATCCATGTGATGAAGCCTTACCATTTTTTGTTCCTCAGGAGCACTGTAGTCGCTTGTTCTAACTGTTCAGGTCATCTTTGTTGGATGAAGGGATCAGGGCAGCCAGGGATATGTGAGGAACTGATGTGTGATAGGTGCATAGTTCATCCTTCCTGGATGGATAGACAGGAACAAACGAGTTGCTAGAGGAAGGTGTGCAAGGCAAGAGGAAACAAAAATGGAAAAGCGTAGGAGACATGCTGGTGGCGTCAATGAAGGAGTGAATACACAAGGGTGGAGTGACGGGGGAGGATGCCACTCAGCACATGCTGAGTCTGAGGGTGCAGGGAGGAATTGAGACTTGGCGCAGATTTGGCAGGCTTGGCATGGATCCGTAACACAGTACCTGCCCCCAGGTGGCTGTGTCTGGAGAACTCGCCTTGCCATGACATCATGCCTCAGAGCATCTTCTCCCCCGAATTCTTCTTCAAGGTGTTAGTGAGCAATAGGTGAGCCAGCCAGTTGGTCTCTCGGTGGGTGTAGGGTGGTTTCTTGTGGGGTTCACTGCTGTTTCTCTCCACACTGGAAACTGATCCCCACGACCTCCAGAGGTGTGGATGAAAACACCTACTGCAACTACCAGCTCATCTTCCTGCTGCACATCCACGGGATCCCGCTCAGCACCGAGCGCTCCTTGTTCTTCCTTATAGTGAGTGCCTGGCTTCCCGAGGGGGGGGTGCTGCCTGGCTTCCCAGAGCAGAGCGGGAGGGGGGGCTTGCCTGGCTTCTCGGGTGGGGGTGGTGCTGCCTGGCTTCACGGGGCTGCTGAGCCAGCTGGGCAAGGCGACCCTGGGGCAGCCCACTCACAGCCCCCACATTCTGCCCGCAGGTGTCAGCCAGCATGTTTGGGGGGCTGGTGGTTGTCTACCTCATCTTCTGCTTCCTGTGGCCCTTCGTTGTGAAGGGCTGCTACATCCTCCGCTGGAAGATCAACAGCATGATTACCACAGACTCCTACTACACCTACGTGTCCTCCTCCAGAGCCTTCAGCCTGCAGTCCAACATCTCCACGATGCCCTCCAGGCTCAGCAACTGGGTCTATGACAGAGACAGGGCTGACTCTCAGTAAACTTTGCAAAAGGCATCTCCAGAGCCTCTTCCCACCCTCAGGCCCCACTCATTCTCGTCCCCCGTGCACAGATCTTGCCACCTTCGGGGCCAGCTTTGGGAGAGAATGCAGCCTGTCACCGCATCACAGGCTGCTTTCTCCACTTTGTTGACATTTTCATTTGATTTTTCATTTCAGCTCTTTCAGCCCCAAATAAAACTTCATTTCAGAATCAGCTGTGAATTCTTTCCAAGATTCATGCGTATGTGGTTTGCCCCAGGACAATTACCCTGGTCATGAAAACATCAGATTCTCTTAGGTCGTCTGTGTTCCTCCCCAAGATGTCTCAAGTCTTTCCAGCGGCATCTTCCAGGCCTCAGGCCCGTTGCTGGAACCTATTCTGAGTCTATTCTGATTGTTCGGTGGCTCCAGTGCTGAACAGCATATTAATATGTCTGTTGTTAGTGCATGCTGTCGAGTCAGCACTGACCCTCTCTAGCAGGTTTTCAGAGGCTGTAAACTCACTGTAAGGGATTTCCCATCTTTCTTCTGAGGAGCAGTCAGGATTCACACCGTGTGCCTTCATGTTCACTAAGAAAACAGAGCTCTCAATGCCTCGTTAGTGAGAGCTAACACCTGTCACAAGGTGCTTCTGAGTCAAAGTTGACTTGATGGCACCTAACAACAACAACATCTAGTAGCTAAAGGAGGGGACCCAGGAGAAGTCTGTATCCTTGGTGTAGTTTCAAGTAGCCAAAATTTCACTCAAAATGCCAGTGTAGAGATGGACATTCAGCAGCTTTGTACATATCTGCAGGTTTCAGGTAAAGTCTGATCCAGCAGTCCTGAATGTCAGCAGAATGTTGGCTACACCTCTCTGTAGCTCTCCCTACTCTACATGAAGGCCTTTGAGCTTAAGCCAGTTCCTCTCACAGTCTCAGAGCTCATGACTATATGTGATGCAAACTAGAGAAAAGAAGGACCTGGTTTGGACCTCCCCAGTCAAAGTCCCATGGGTCACTCTAATAGGGTGGCTTAGGCCCACAAATCCATCACTGAGCCAGTTACATCACCAGCAGGATGGGACTTTGATTAACTTACATTAATCAGCCAACTTCTGGAGCTGGGATAGAGCCAATCCCACCCTGGCAGTTTTTAGGAGAGTGTATTGTCAGGAAGGAGAAAAGGAGGCTGAACAAGCTTTCACTTCACCTCCTGTCCACCCAACAGACCCAACTCCATCCCCTCACCAGAGGTCATTCTTGGGTGGCCCCTGCAAGTGATACCTCCAGACCATTCAACTTCATCCTCTCCCCATGAGTGACTCCTATGAGAACCCTAATCACTTTCCACACTCTCTTTTTTTTTTTAAATTTTATTTCATTATTTTTTTGTGTGTACCATCAAATCGGATCTGACTGATAGAGGAGGAGATTGTTCCTCCTTCTCCAGCAGAGCATCTGGTGGATTCGAATCATGTACCTCTGAGATTGCAGTGCAGCTTCTTGCCACTAGGCCACCAGAGCTCGCCTCCCCACTCTTTAAAGAAGTCTAAAAGTGGGGACAAAGAGGACCCACTTTGGGGGACACCAGAGCTGATAGCTGGGCCACCTTGTCCACACAGCTCCACAACAGACAAGACTTTTGTGTGGTCATAGTGCAGAGATACGGGGTTATCAGAGGAACACTCAAGCTGGGCACCCAAAGGACCCATGTAGAAAGATGCCTCCAGACGCCACATGGACTGAGGACAGGGATTCCAGGAGGCAGCAGGGGCGGAGGTGAGAGTACAAGAGAACGAGGCTGGCCTGCGGCGGGTCTGGAGTGGTGCCTAGGATAGTGCAGGTGGGAGAGTCAGGAGGGCTTGCAAACAGGGCAGGTAGGAGGTAGGCAGGGAGGGCTGACGAGAGGGACAGCTTGGGGGAGGTCAGTGCTCCACCCTAGGGACTGGGAGATGACTGGGCCACCTCTGAGATGAGGAACAGGGAGGAGAGTGGATCTGGGGGAGACATTGAGGCTAGCTAGACATTGAGAATTCTGGCATCTAATCAAAGGCCCTCAAACACACAGATAAGGAGAATAATCACTCTAAACTGACACAGAACCCACAGAGGTGTTAAAATAAGCAGAGCAAATTAGCTCCAAAAAAATTCAAACTCAACTGTCATCACGTTAGTTCTTGTAGTGAGTGATCTTCCATTATATGTCTGAGGCTGTAGATCTTAATGGGAGGAAATGTTTTTCTCCTGAAGAGCAACTGGATTCAAACCATCAGAGATGTGAGGGCTCCTGGTCAGCAGTGTAGCCTGCTGTGGACCACACCGCGTCATCAGTGCAGGCTTGGAGGAGGGAGGCCGTCAGCTCTGTGATGACTTGGAACCCACCAGCCTGTTTCCTTGTGCCACACTTAGCCTGTGACTGCCAAACAGAGGCCTTGCCAGCATTCCACCCAGAAAGAAGTATCAAAGGCCAAAGGACTGCTGCCAGCTCCACACGTTTCCTTTAGAAGGTTTTCCAGAAGCTCCCAGCAGTACTACCATTTATGTATAATTAGCCAGAAACGGTCACTTGGCAGCACCTGTAAGGAAGCTAGGCTCACAGTGACATCATTTTTGTCAAGAGTGGAAACCATAGGGTTCTCAGTGGGTAATTTTTGGAAGTAAGTCATTGGGTCTCCCCTGGAAAATGCCTCTAAATGGGCTCAAACTGCCAACTCAGTAAACAATGAAAGAATTAACTATTTTTACTACTCAGAGACTCCAAACTTGGTCATTATGCTACAGTAGGTAATCAACAGACTCAATGGTCCTGAGGGGAGAAGTTGAAGCTGTACTGAAGGTGTTGTTGCTGTTGTTAGGTGCCATCGCGTCATAGGTGACTCACAGCGACCCTATGAATGGAAGACCTGGACACTTGTATAACTTTTGTCGCTTCTCCAGGTTCATAGGGTTTCCGGAGGCAAGCTATTTCAGAAGTGGATGCCACTCCTGCTTCCAAGTTTGTTTTAATCAGGAAACTCCACCAAACACTGTCCATCATGGTTAACCATTATCACATTTGACACATCAGTGTCACAGTAACCACGAGTTACCTCTGTACAGCAAATGGACAGACAATTGCTATGCCACTTAGAAGAATGTTTGACTAAAAACAATTAAAACCAGGCCTGAGGACCACAGATTAAAATCACCCACCTTTGACTTAGTATCCACCAGGCCTACAGAGTTGTCTCATTGTTGTTATTGTTTTTGTTGTTGTTGTTAAGCACTGTTGAGTGGTAGACAACTCATAGCAACCCTGTGAGCAAAATTCCAGAGGCAAGCTGTTTTGGAAGTAGATGCCACTCCTGCTTCCAAGCTTGTTTAATAGGGGAGCTCCACCAAACACCGCAAAGGCTGCAGGTCTGCCCATGCTTCAGGTTCTCATTGGTTCCCAGCAAGAGGCATCAGCCAGCCCAATAGGACCCAGAGACTTTCTATAGCAACAGAGAAAGAGCCATAACGAAGGTATTGGCAAAAAATAAGTCCCAGGAATTTATGGAATACCAATTGGCATGTTTCAACTAACAGATGAAGCCCTGGATATGCTCAATATACGCCAAGAAATTTGGAAGACTCAGCCAACTGGTTGTTGTTGTTGTTAGGTGCCATCAAGTAGTATGATCCCTTGACACCCTGTGAACAGCAGGTCTGAACCATGTCCCATCCTGTGCCATCCTCACACTTCCTGACACAGTAGAGCCCATTGTGGCAGTCACTGTGTCAATACACCTAGTTGAGAATCTTCCTCTCCTTTGTCAACCTTCTGCCTTTCCAAGCATGAACTGACTGGAAGAGATTCATATTTGTTCTCATTCCAAAAAATGGTGATCCAGCAGAATGTGAAAGTTATATGAAGTATCATATGTAAGTAAAATTTTGCTTAAGATTGATTTAAAGTGGTTGGAACAATACATAGACAAGAGACTGATAAAAATTTAAACTGGATTTAGAAAAAGCCATGGAACAAGGGATATAATTGTTTATGTCAGATGGATCTTCATTGACAGTAGAGAATACCAGAAAGATGTTTACTTGTGTTTTATAAAATATCCAAAGGCATTTGACTGCATGAATCATAGCAAATTTTGGGAAACATTGAGAAAAAATGAGAATCTCAGAACATTTAATTGTGCTTATATGAAACCTATACATAGATCAAGAAACATTTGTCTGAACAGAACAAGGCAACACTGCATGGTTTTTAAATCAGGAAAGGTTTTCTGCAGGGTTGTATAATTTCTCTATACCTACCTATGTAATCTGTATGCTGAGAAAATGGTTTGAGAACCTGGACTATGAAAAAGAATGAAGAATCAGTATTGGAGAAAGAATTAACTTTGTGCAGAGGACACGTTTGCTGGAAGTGAGGAGGACTTAGAGTGCTTGTTCCACAAGATCAAAGTCGACAGCCTTCAACATGGATTCTGTCTCAACATCAAGTAAATAAAAACTCCTCACCGTTGGACCAATAGGCAACACCAGGATAGATGGGAAGGGCTGACGCTGTCAAGGATTTGATTTTACTTGGGTCCATAGTCAACACCCTCAGTAAGAGGAGTCAGGAGATCATTACCTGTCTGTCATTTTGTTGGACTAAGGTAGCTTGTATGTTGCTAAGATGCTGGAAGATTTTCTGGTTGTATTTCTAATACCAGCAGGGTCAGTATGACAGACATGTGAAAGAACTTGGTGGGTTCAAACTGCTGGCCTTTCCATTAACTGCTGAGTAATTAACACTTGAGCTGTGTGTGTGTGTGTGTGTGTGTGTGTGTGTGTGTGTGTGTATGTGTGTGTGTGATATATGAGCTACTTTGGAGTAGCATGTCACAGGAGTGGCATCAGATGGACCATCACAAAAACAGATGCAGCATTTCTACATCTGTAGAAGGAGAACAGTGAAGAAGCTTGGTACCAGCAGTCGAAACAAGGCCAGTGGCTAACTATAGAAAAGACCATTAACTACTCACATTCAAGTTCAAA